ATGATCCCAGGGACTGCAGACAGGTGAAATCTGTTGCAGTGGAATACCTGGTAACTGGAAAATTGTGATTGCTCAAAAGTGAGGTGAGGAGAGACAATATGGAGTGTCCAGAAGCAAAGAGCACATTGACAGTTCATTGCTCTGCCTGGTCAGAGTCTCTGCAGGCTCAGCTTAAAAATGTAAAGTAGAAAAGCCAACATAAACAAGTGCTCAAAATCCCATTGACAGCTTTAGGCTCAGGACTAGAGGAAAAAAAACAGCCCAAGTGCAAAGGATGTTTATGAGACTAAATGTCCAGGGTTTGTTTACTGCTCCTCGTGGCTCTGCCAGCCTCGGCTCTCCCAGCTCAGGAGCTGCCATGGCTTTTGGGGAGGGATTTCTGGAGCAAAGCACATCTTTCACTCTGGAAACTTCATTCCCTGTTCATTCAGCAGGAAGGACAAGGTGCCCCACAGCCCTTTTCTCCAGTTTAATCCAAGTGTGATTATTTCTCCTCAGTCTCGGAGCAAAAAGGTGCCCCAGCCACAGTGTCCTGCTGGGGATTGAGCCTAAATTATGTAAAATAGGTGGTTGTGGATGCAGCAGTCAAAAGAGATGAGGGGGAAGATGGGAAAGAGGGAAAAGAGGCACAAAGAGATGATCTTCCTTGAAGAACTGCTGTAATTCAGTTGCACAAAGAGAATCTAAGGCTGCAAAGTCCCACTCCCGTTCTTCATTCTCTGCCTGTAGGAGCCATCAATAATTTGACCATTATGGGTTTCTCTTTTATTGAATTTCTTGATTCCAGGAAGGCTCTGGGGGGGTTGTGCTGCGCCTTGCTAAAACCGGGAGTATCAGATTCTCAGAAAGAGACTGGCCTTGTGAGGTTTTCAGGCCTAAACTATTTAGGAAAGGATTTTATTATTTTTTTTTTTTTTTTGGTCTGTTTATCTGAACTCAGAATGAACTGCTGAAACATTTGAGGTTTGTCCCTAATAAAAGCATAGTTTTGAATTGCTGAAACATTCTGCAGCATAAATATGGCCTTCAGAGTGAGCGGAGGTGGGACGTGTTTTGCCTGCAGTCGAGGCTTGCTCTTCCTTTAAACTCAGATTCAAGGATGCTGAAATCTCACAGATTGATCCCCCTTCCCTTGAATAGTGGGAAACTTAACTCCTGCAGCCAAAAGATGGGAATTTGAATCTGAAATCTATAAAGTTTATCCTCAAACCTGAACCTTTATTGAATGTTTGCTGCGACCTGCCAGTGGGACTTGTGGGTTAACCCACTCTCTGTGCTCGTTTTTGCTGGTTGTCTCCAGCAATTCCCGATCCAGCCCCCTCATCTGGCACTGTGGACCCTTGTACCAGTGGGACAGCATTGCCCATATTGCATATCCCATATTCCATCCACTGTGGGGATTCCTGAGCATTTTGTATCCTCCTGCAATGCCACCTGGTTGCCTTTTGACCTGGCCTGGCCTGGCTCTGAAGACCTGGACTGATGTGAAGATCAATATTTGCAGCAGCAAAAGATGTGGAGATGCCCAATTTGATGAGGGGTCATGCTCTCTCACACTGAGTTTGAAAAGGGAATTTTTCCCTGATGCAGTTTGGAGCCCAATGGTGAGCAAATAGTTTGTAAAAGTTGTTAAGATTTACAAAAAAAATGGCAAAAAACCCCCTTTAGAACTGCTCTCCTGGAAGTGCATCATTTTACTGCCAAGCTTCGTTAACCATTCCTTGCTAGAAAGGAAGTTGCATTTCATGACACAACCACCTCTCAAGCCAAAAGCCTGAAATTTCCTTTTCTGAGAAGGTCGAAATGGACATTTCACTAATTTTTAAATTTTGTTGCAACTTCATTATCTTCCAACCAGGAAGTTGGACAAAAATAATCCTCGTCATGAGAAGTTTTGTTTTCAGCGAATCAACGGTTTGTTTTACCCATAGAAAAAGACTCCTGGAAAAAATTCCTGCTCTGGGGTTGGCTTCAATTTGAACAAAACAACAGTGTCTCCTAGTGGCTGGCTCCAGGGGGATGGCCACATCCATCTTGGCTTTTGAGTGGCTCTTCCTTGACCCTCCTCCTGGATCTTTGCTCATCGGGGAGCGAGAGGAGCGGGAAATGTTTGCTGTGAGCAATAAACCATTTCATGAGGCATAAAAATATCCATGGAGTGTTTTCCGGGCTCCGGTTGGTGTCGAGAGAAGGTCATTACACTTGAAGGCTGCAGCACTGGGTGTTTGGCTCATCTGCTGTTCAGCTTCCACTCCAATAATCCGAGAGCTCCCGGCAGCGGCTTGGCCGGCGCTCAGGGCCATCCATCCTTGTCCTGCCTCCGTGCCCCTGCTCCAACATCCCTCCTGACAGCAGTCCTTGTCACCCTGTTAGCTCTGCCTCACACCACACATGATCCCTGAAGGATAATGAAGATCCCTGCTCCGAGGTTGGCTCTGCAGTGCCTGCTGTCCATCAGCCTTGCCTCGGGCTCCGATCTGCTGGGTCAGCTCCTCGTCACGGCTCCCGGTGACCTCAGCTGGGCCACCTCCCTGTCCTCTGCTTCCCCTCTCTCCCCTCCCCTGACAGATCACTGCAGCTTTTCTCCTGCACTCCCTGAACTTGTGTACAAAACAAAAGTCACGGTGCTGGAGACAAAACAATAAGGGCACAAATTGTCAGAGGAAATTGGTAAATCGGTTCAGGCAATGACATTGGCAGATGCCACGTGCTCAACAGGCCACAGAAAAATATCGACCTTGGCTTAGAAAAATTGGGATTTTAGAGAATAACAACCTACAAATTCTTTTTATTTGCCTCAGGGTGTTGTTAGGTTTGTTCAGCTCAGTCTTTTCAAGGAGGACACGCTTTTTTTGGTGATAGCTCTGAGAATGACTTCCCATCAGTGTTGGGTTAATGGTTGGACTCCATGATCTGAGAGGGTTTTTTCCCCAGCCTTAATGATGTGTGATTCCTTGCTGATGATTGTCACTAATTTCCCAGCCTCAACACTCTAACAAGCCATCCCCAGCCTGCCCTGAACACCCTGTCCCACTGGCAATCACACTCTCAGTCACAGCCTGTCCCAGAGCTCTCAATCTGCTGCCAGAGGGACACAAGAATTTATCAAGTTATTTTGCTGCTGGTCAGAATTGCCCTTGTCTGACCCCACCAAGCATGCCAGGTCCTGACCAACAGCTGGAGGACACTGTGAGTGTGGTGTCCTGACCCCACTGTGACTTACAATGACTGTGTCCCCTGTCCCCACTGTGACTTTCAGGCTCCTGGGAGCCCACGGGGCTGTTCCAGCTCAGTCTCTGTTGGGGCTCTGGTTCAATGCCACCCCAGAGCACCCCTTTTCTTCAGCTGTGTTTTCATTGCTGAGGGATGTTTCATTGCTGCCCAGGATGTTTTGGCACCATCAGGGAAGGGAATGGGGTGGATGTAAGGGTAGGAATCCCCTCCCTGCAGGAGGAAGGTGTGAGGAGGGCGGGCAGGTGATTCTGCTGCTCACATGTTTCCTGGAGACTGAAGAACTGAAAATGGCACAGTCCTTCCTCTGGTGTCCCTTGGGAATTGGTGTGTATGGACTGTAACCATGAGGACTGAGCTCTCAGTGCTTTCTCCCTGGATAAATGGTTGAGCAGCAGACAGACTGTTGCATAAAGAGATTTAGCAGTGAGTGATGGTTCATTAGCAGCCCACAGGTTGGCACTGCCTGTAGGAGGGGATGTCTGGGCTCTTCTTGCAGTCCAGTTAACTCTTTCACCCTCTCCTTCCATTGCCAAGGGTTTGGTTTGCAGAGTGTGGAGTTAAATGTGGTGGTGCCACAGTATTACAATGGTCTCTCCCTTCGGACCCTCAGATAGTGCAACAACGTCCCCAAGAAACAGCCAGTTCTTACCGTGATGTCTGATGAGGGACAGGGAATAAAGGAAACCATTGTCAGTCCAGGAGATGAGTCAGATATGAAAATCACACCTTTTCCTAGACAATGTTATTACACTGAGGAAAAGGAAATGAAAAAGACTCATTTTCTCTTGCAAAGGAACAAGCCTTGAACTAGAAATGTAGAAATGCACGTTACAGAGCCTGGTGCTGTTTGAGGGAGCAGCTCCAGGGACTGGGCCAACCCCATCCTTCCTTTTGTGTCTGTCCCTGCTGTGCCAGAGCCTGAGGGCTGGACAGACACTGCTGCACTTGCCAGGAAAAGAAGATCTCAGGCTCTGTCTGAAAACAGGATTGTAGCCCAAGGTAATTTGGTGCTGGTGACAGAGGAGGGGAATGGAAAAATCTTGCATGAAGCCTTGTAAACTCAGAGAAACCCACACTGATCCTGGAGGGAATCCTGACTCTCAGGTCCACACTGCTGTCGCTTGAACTAAATCTGCTCTGTGTTACTAACCAGGGCTTCAGAAGGAAAGATCATTTTGGATCTTTTGGGGACAGTTTCCAAAGGGAGACAAATATCTCAAGGGACATAAAACTATTGATCCTACTGACTTTCACTGACACTTGTTTGCCTAATTATCTTAAGAGATATCTGGAAGAAAAATACTTTGTTTTAATGTCAGTTTAATGTGAATATTCACCTATCCAAACCAGTGGTCCTGGTTTGGATACTGCATTATCCATAAAGTTCTGCTGGGGTTAGTGCAGTAAAAACAACCTGACCCATGTGAGTCCAGACAGAAGCTTAGAAGCCACACCAGCCATTCACCTGGATAATTATATCTTGGAAAGCTTTAATTTTTTGGGCCCATGCAGTGGGCACAGTTGTTCTGCAGCTGCTCCAGAACCGGGCTGGGATTCTGTGTTTCCACTAAGACTCACAGGGACCATCCATGAGGTTTGTCTGCTGTTCCCCTCAGACATTTATCTGCCTCCATGGCTTTCCAAGAGGAATATGGGAAGGTGTAGCATTTGTGCTTCATTATCACAAATCCCAGTGGGAGAAACATTCCAGCCTTTCCCGTTTCCTCTGTGCATCTCTTTGACCCTGTTGCTTTTCTGCCCCGTAGCCAGATGAGCTGACCAATGCCTTGGAGATCAGCAACATTGTCTTCACCAGCATGTTTGCCCTGGAGATGCTCCTGAAACTCCTTGCCTTTGGCATCTTTGGCTACATCAAGAACCCCTACAACATCTTCGACGGGATCATCGTTGTCATCAGGTCACTGCTGGTTCTTTCTCTGCTTCTCTGAGGGCTCAGCCCAGTTGGGGAGTGGGATGGGGAGCAGGAATGAGGTGACATGTGTTAATCCAGGGCTGGGATGTTCTATAATTGTGCTGGCATTTTAGATCCCTGTTGTTTAGAAGGGCTGTCCAAAGTAAATGGACCTGGCAGATGGAGAACAAAGTCTATTTATGCCACACATCTGGCACTGGGGGTGATTTTCCACCGAAGTGCAGAGTGGCTGGTCCTAAGAAAGGAGAGCAGTGAGTGTCCATATCCCAGCAGAGTGCCCTCCCTGTCCCAAATTAACACAACTCAGGCTGGAATGGGGGAAGCAGGAGGGAAAGAGGGCACTGTTCTGCTGTCCCCTCCCAGGGGACACTGTCCCAGCCTAAACTAGGGGTGCCACAGCACGTGAGCGAGAGCTTGTGCACCCCTCAGAGCTGGGATTCTTTCCAGCAGTGCTGGTCAGTAATTTGGGGCAGAGAATTCAAGGGAGACACAGATGCAAACCAGGATAGTGCTGTTGGCTTCCCTTGGCCCATCCCTTTGATTCAGAGCAGGGAGGAGCAACAGAGACCCAAAACACAGGTCATTCTGTGGCCTGATGAAACCAACCCCCTCCAGCAGATGTAAATCCCTCTGGATGTTCATGGTGCAAACCGTGATCCATGTTCTGTGTGTGGGCTTGGGACAGGCTGGAGTGGTGCAGCCTGGCAGGGGATGTGCTGTGAAGAACCACAGAAAACCAGGGAATTAAAGAATCAAAATCCAGCTGTGATGGAGATAAGTTGTGCACGTGAAGGTGAACTGGGAGCGAAGGTGTTTTCCAGAAGCAACAAAGGAACAGGCAAAGAAACACTCCCGTGGGGCTTGAAAGGCATGATCCCTGTAGGAAACCCTGTAGGAAAACCACCCTCAGGGCTTCCCCCAGGTGGTGCTGCTGGTTCCAGCTGTTGTCCCGTGTTCCTGCAGTGTCTGGGAGATCATTGGGCAGTCGGATGGGGGCCTGTCCGTGCTCCGGACGTTCCGGCTGCTCCGGGTGCTGAAGCTGGTGCGGTTCATGCCCGCCCTGCGCCGCCAGCTCGTGGTGCTCATGAAGACCATGGACAATGTGGCCACCTTCTGCATGCTGCTCATGCTCTTCATCTTCATCTTCAGGTACCAGAGGCTTGCAGTTCTTCTCTGATCGATTGCCCAGCTTGGTTAAGGGACGTGGGGTTGGAATAATGGGACACTGCAGGCTCCTGGGGGTAGAACTGCTCACAACAGACTGTTTACTCCTTTTCAGTCTGTTTTTCCTGCAGTTCTCTAATTCTATAGGTGGATAAGGATCACAAACAGGCAACAATTGCTCCTTGGGTCCCTGAGAGGCTCCTTTAGCTGTGCCAGAGGACACTGTCACTACTGGACTGTACCAGTGTTATATTTGGGATGGAGGTTGTGCAGACCCCAAGGCATTGGTCTGTTTGACCCTGTAATGCTCCTTAAGACCCTTTTGTTGGAAACCAGTTGGATTAGGGAGCTGGCAACATGGTTTGTCATTTTCTAGGAGAAGGAGGTCCCTTTAGTGTCGAAAATTGTAATGAAATGTGGCACAGAAGAACCAAATTGCAGGGTCTGAGCAGTGATCATGGCAGTGCTGGAGCAGATCCCGTCTTCCCAGGAGATTCCACCAGCACCCAAAACACTGGGAGGGGAAAAGTGTCCAAAAAAATCACTGCAATCCTCCCTGCAACTGTATTTGCCACAGTAATGTTTCTCTCCTCTCCCCCTCCCTTCTCTCCTCTCCCCTCTCCAGCATCCTTGGCATGCATCTTTTTGGATGCAAGTTCAGCCTGAAAACTGATACAGGAGACACAGTTCCAGACAGGAAGAATTTTGATTCCTTGCTTTGGGCCATTGTCACTGTATTTCAGGTAAGCTCTGGGTCCTTGGGGGAGTTTTAATGTGGAACATGTGGACTTTCTATTTCACAGAACTATTCCAATAAGTGTCAAGTTTAGTTATTAGGGAAGAGAGATTGTGTTTCTGTGTCTGTAAGCCCTGACAAAGAAGCAATCTGCTAAAATCAGCGCTGTGCATGTCTCTTGTAAGCAAAAGAAGAAGGAAATCCACCCTTATTTTCCTTTTATATAATCAATAATATCAAGACCCACAGTCTGCTGCTTATTCTGCCCCTGTTCTGCAGACCTCTGTCTCCTTACTCACCTGCACTGCCCCAAAAATGCACTTTGCAAACAATTTCCCGTAACTGGGAGTGCCAAATACTGTCACAAATCAGAGCTGGAGGTGCTGAGAAAGTCTTTATGTAAAAAACTGTGTTTCCTCTGCAGCCAAGATCTGGTTTGTGCCTGAAATTACTATTATTATTCCACAATAAGCTGCTATCTCAAGGACAATTTTAATACAAAGATTAGTCTTTTCTGTTTCAAGGCTCAGACTTTAGAGCCCCAGTGCTACAAGTGGAGCACGGTGTAAATAACATTAAGCCAAGTTTCTTAGCACAGGGTAAGTGTTCACCACAGCATCATTCAAGGTGGAAACCAGTGTGGAGAAAAATAGGACTGTGAAAAACAGAACTTCTTGCAAAGGAGCAAAGGCAAATCAGCAGCAGCCTCAGAGGTTCACGTTTTTCTCTCACCAACACATGGATTTCTGGATTTATCCTGGCACTCCCTTGGGAATTGCAGTTGGCACAGAGCACAAGGGCTCAGTCCTGTGTCCCGTGAAGGGTATTGAGTGACATGACTCAGTGCAGCTGAATTCAGCCCTGTCTCCCCAAAGCTGCCTTGTTTGCAGGAGGGTTTGAGGCCGTTTTCACTGCAAGCACAAGTTAATGTGGAACACGAATCTGTCATCCATTTTGCTTAGGCCCCGGGATTTTTGAGCTCCAGGAAAGCTCTGAGAAAACCCCTTGGAGCAAGGCTTTTTGCGAGGATGTGTGTAGGGGTTTTTTTGCCCAGCTTGTCAGTGCTTTTACCTAAAGGAAACCACTTTGCTTCCCTGAATTTCTTGAGCCACCCAGTGTCATTTATCCCATCAAATATCTTGTCCCTTACCCTTTCCTTCAGCTCCAGTTGCCTTATAAAGAGCAGCCTGAAAGGAGACAAGATCTGTGGCCTCAGGTCTGTTATCTGCTGATGGTTATCAAAGGAGGCAATACCTCCACGAAATAATGGGATTAGGATGAGTACATCCTTCATGTTATGATATCTGGGATCTGAACTAGTCCTCTGAGTGCCAGAGGGGAGTTTGGCCAGGAGAGAGCTCTCATGTGAAGATCTAAATAAAGGACATTTTTGCTGCCTCCTCTCGTGAGACCTGCGAGTGATTACGCTCAGAAAAGGTCAAAAGCAGGGGAAGAAATGGCTGAGACAGTGCTTGAATGTCATGGGAGGAGTAATTAGAGCCTTCCCTCTTCCTTCCCTGCAGATCCTCACTCAGGAGGACTGGAACGTGGTCCTGTACAACGGGATGGCCTCGACCTCCTCGTGGGCAGCTCTGTACTTCGTGGCCCTGATGACCTTCGGGAATTACGTCCTCTTCAACCTCCTCGTTGCCATCCTGGTGGAGGGATTCCAGGCAGAGGTGAGAGGTGGGAGCAGAGGGAAGGAGAGCACTGACACACCTGCAGGGATGGGTCTGTGTCAGTGCAATATCCCACCGTGCAAACAGCCCAAAATGTAAAGTTGAGGGGTGTGGATGAGCTGGGCTGGACATGTGAAGCTCTTGCGAATCAATCTTGGTAATTAAGGCCCACTGGGTGTGTCATGGGACTGAGGAGACCAGGATTTTGGTTGATCTGCTCCAGGGTCTGTTGTGTGACACAGAAGAAATAGTTTAGGAGTAATTTTACTCAGCAAGTCTCCCATATATCCTGTGTTTTGTGTTTCTTTATGGCAAACCTCAGGCCTTCTATTCTATATTCCATATTCTATAATCTATTCTATGCATATATATATATATTCTACTCTATGGAAGACCTTATATTTAGCCAGTTCCAGTCATGTGGACCAGGCAGGATGTGAACTGGGTCTCAGTCCAAGCCTTCCCTTGGGACTCTGTCTCTCCTGTGTTATTTGCACAGCAGCACAAGTAGCCCAGCTGTTCAAAAGCTGCATTTCAAGGCTTGAAACATTAAATTTTGAGATATTCAGGATGATGCTTTAAGGCAGAAGAAAGTTTTCTCTGCTCAGCAGCCTGGCAGCCTGCAGGTATCTCTGTACAGAACAGATCCCATTCCTTACCTGCCCTCCTGGAAGTTCATGACGTGCTCATGTGAAGCCAGGAAGGGGCAACCTCTGAGTGCAGAACCCTCTGAGTGCCTGATCACTGAGCCAGACAAATGGCTGGGCTTTAAGCTCAGGCTTAATGGTTCCTTTCAGAGCTGTTTTGGACCATGATTTAAATGTGTGTAAGCACTGGATTGCAAAGCTTGTATTACTCACTCAGCACTACCTCTGAAAAGGCCACCAACCATGGGCATGACATTTGCAGGGCACATTTTGCCCTCCACTCCCAGTTCTTGTAAACCCTGACATGGAGCCCGTGGGCTTGTCAGTCGTCTGGGAGAGAGGAATCAGCTGTGCTGCAGAAAACCCTTCTCAGGGCTGGATTTCAGCTACCAAGCCTTTCACTTATAAATCATGGAATCCTGGAGTGGTTTGGGTTGGACGGGACCTTAAAGTTCATCTGGTTCCAGCCCCCTTCACTAGACCAGGTTGCTCAGGGTCCCAGCTCTGGCTGGGAACCAAAGATGTTTACAGCCTCATTGGGCAGCTTTGGGAAGAAGTATCAGTGGAGCTGGGTTTTCTTTTGTCATCCCTGGTTCTGTTGGTCGGTTGGGAGTATGGCAGAATTCTTGTTTTGTCCACTTTGACTTTGCCCTCTGACAGGGGGTTGTTCTTAACACTCACTAAGACACCGAGGGCACTTCTCCCTTTTTCTCTTACTTAACTGTAGAGTGACTCCTGGGAGACTTGTGCAGCTGAGAGGGTGCAGGTTAGAGCTGCTCTGAACTCAGAACCATCAGCAGTGTCTCAGCAAGGACAAAAAAATTGCCCTGTGAATCTCAGGACACGGTCTCAGCTTGATCCCACGTTCTGCTCTGCCTGTGGAGCAAGTCTACCAGGAGTATGCCTAGAAGAGAACAGGCTTAAATGGCCACAAACCCATTTTTAGTACATTTGTGCTCAGTCCAACAAGCAGCCAGACTTCAAACAGGACCATAATTGCATATTTGTGCTTACACTGTTCCGGTGTCAGTTTGAAATCTACCCCAGAGCTGCTCTGGGAAAGCAGACAAACCTTCTGAAATCATGCAAATCTTTCATCTGCTGGTGTTTCTGCTCTAAAACAGAGAAGATGAATAAGGGAGCTCAAGCCTTTCAGTCATCCTGGCTGCTTGGCTGCACCAGTTTGCAATCCATCACAGACGAAATTAAGTTCACTGCCACTTCAGCGCTGTGTCTCCAGAAACTGTGGTGATTTGTTCAGGCATCAGTGAGGGAACTGTGCTCCTTCTTCTGGGATCAGCTGCTTTAATCCAACCATTTGCTATCAATTTGCACACATTTTCTGCAACCTTGATGAATCCAGCCAGAGAGAAGCCAACGGTCTGCTGCTGGAATCTCTCCCACAGCAAGGAGAAGTTCTTCTGTCCCAGGCTGATCATTTTTGGTGGTAGATATGTTTGAAAGGGAAAATTAACTGGACTTTCAGGAGGAAAGCCAGGGTGAGGGTGGTTGGCTGTTCTCTGTGCTGCCTCATTCCCTCTGCCTCAGCATTGCCAAGAGATTTCCCAGTACCATCTCGGTTACCAGCCGGCCTGAAGGAAGCAAAGCAGGGCTGGATATTCAGATCTAAGTCAAATTTACAGGGCTGTCAAATCAAGAAGAAAAATCCTTCAGCATCCTTTGACATCAAACCCCAAGTGCTTTCAGCTGGGATCATGGGGAGTGCAAACATGGAACCCCACCATGCCAGTGTTTCGTGGTCACTCCTGTGATTGCAGCTGCATTTTGGTGTTCTCTGGGAATCACTGTTCCAGGAGGCTGGTGCAGGTAGGAAACACGACATGGCAGGAACAGCCACATCAGCCTCCTTCCTGTCCAAGTGTGAAAATTAATCAAAATATAGAAGAGGGACTTGCCTGGGGTCATTCCTTGGGGCCGCTCTTAAACTGACTGTTGGGAACAGAGGTGCTGAGTAATCCAAATTATCATGTCTGTTAATTATCCCCCTCCTCTCTGCAGGGTGATGCCACTAGGTCAGACACAGATGAGGACAAGACATCTGCCAACTTTGATGATGATTTTGAGAAGCTGAAAGACCTCCGAGCGACAGGTGGGGGTTTGTGTCCACGTTTTCCTGGGATCAGCTGTGACTCTGCTTCCATATCTTCTCACAGGAACTTATGGGGGGAAAAACTGGAAGAATCCCTTTTATTTGGCAACTAATCTGATGGCTGAGCCCACAGAGCAGCTCTGCAAAGTGAAAGCTAAATGAGCATTGATATTTCCTTTAAACAGATGTTTTTCTAATTTAAACTCTACGAGAAGATTTTGCTGTGTCTCATCATTTCTCCTGTCCCGTTCCCGCAGAATGGTTTGCTGACAGCAATGTTCTCACCCTACTTCTCAGCAGCTTTTCAAATCAATCATGTTCTCATCTGTTCTTTTTGGTTTCCCACACAAATGCATTTGGGTGAGGTTTGATTGATGGAAATGTTGCTGCTCATTTGCGTTACAGGAGGGTCTGGCAATCAATTTGAGGTAAGGCCACACTGTACCAGAGTACTAAAAACATGGAATAGTAGGTGACAGCCTTCACTCTGCAGAGTTTGCAGCCAGAGAGGTGACAAGGAGGGATCCCATATTTTAGCAGAGTGAATGGCATGATGGCAAACAGGAGCCACTTTAGTTCCTCTGTACTTTGATTCCCAGCTTGGGCTCTGCTAGGATTACTTTAAATGTTTCTAAACTGGGTTTTGTTTCAGCTAAGGAGATGATATTGATTGTGGTGAGCAGATGGAATTCAGCTGAGGAAGGGGCAGAATAATTTGTTGGGGGAGCTGAGACAGAACTGGATCACAACGAGGTGATGGAGCTGCTCAGTGTGCAGATGAAGCAACAAATCCCAAACACCAAGTGATCAAATACCCATTGCAAATGGTTGGCAGGGAACCCACAGCACAATTCTACAGCAGATTTGCACCAACTATTTGTTGAACAGCTTCAAATAACAGGAGATTTCTAGGGGGAAAAAAACATTGTCACCTCTTCTCAGGTAATACAGGAATAGAAAACAGGACTGGACTTGCCTTTGAAGTCCAGGAGTGCTTGTGTGTCTCCCTAAGTCTCAGAGGTGCCAACTGGTGACTAAACAGCAAAAAGGCTTTAACAATTCTGTTGCAAAGCCATTGGTCTGTAACACATACAGGGCCAAGAGGAATGTGTTTGGCAGATTAGCAAATTTGGAGCTGAAACTTCCACCCCCAGGGTGAAATGGCAGTGTTCCCATGGCCTTCTGTGGTGCAGGTCAGACATTTGTGCACAAAACAGATGATCCAACAGAAGCAAAGTGCACTGCAAGAGCAGCCAGAGCAGGGAATGCACTCACTTGGATTCCTCACTGCAGCCCTGCCCCTGCTTTCCTGCTGATCCTTCCCCCTCCTTGAGATTGGTTCTGAAAAATGAACTGATTTCTGATGTAAAACCAGGACCTACCAAGCCCAGTAAAGCAGGAGCTGGTTCAGCTCTAGTTTTGGGGTTGAAACCAGTCTGGTTTGGAGCATCGTGGCACTCTGTAGGGCTGGAGGTGTTAGGTCTGGTTTTGCTTCAGTGTGAACATGGGTTTTACAGCCTGTACTTGCCCTACAGCTGAAAGAGATGCTTTTTGTGATGACCACAGTGCCATTAGAGTTCTCTGTTATGGGTAGGGGTGTAAAAGCAGCTTCCATTTCCTGTCCCCTGCTGTTTGCTGAGTGCCTTCCCCATGAAGGGACTTGGAGCACATCACAACTGGACAAAAATCTTTGTGCTACACTGTAGGACACAGACAGGAGGTGAACTTAAAAGGGTGAATTTAGCCAGTCCTCAGTGTCCTTTCCTCAGAGGCTTTCTCCTAGTCCTCATAACTATAATTCCACTCTAAATCCCAAGAAACAGTGAGCAAAAGAAGCTTCCTGGAGGTGTGCAAGGCCGGGTTGGATGGAACAACATGATCTAGTGGGTGGCATCCCTGCCTATGGCATAGAGGTTGGACCTTTAAGGTCCCTTCCAACCCAAACCATTCTATAATTCCATGATTCCTTTGGAGAGCAGTGAGTTCCAAGTCCAGGTGGGGCTGAAGGCCTCTTAAGAGGTTGTGGTGTTTGCCTGATGCCTTTTAACACAGTGGGGGGGGGGGATCTTATCTCTGGAAGAGAAGAGGAGACTGAGGGGAGACCTCACTGCAGTTACAACTGCCTGGGCAGGGGCAGAGGAGGGGCAGGGACTGAGCTCTGCTCTGGGGGGACCAGGGACGGCAGCCAGGGAATGGCTGGAGCTGTGTCAGGGCAGGGTCAGGTTGGATCTCAGGCAAAGGTTCTTCCCCCAGAGGCTGGTTGGCACTGACCAGGCTCCCCAGGGCAGTGGGCACAGCCCCAAGGCTGCCAGAGCTCAGGGAGGGTTTGGATGATCCTCTGGGACACAGGGGGTGACTCTTGGGGATGGTTCTGTGCAGGGCTGAGGGTTGGACTGGATGATCTCTGTGGGTCCCTTCCAGCTCAGCATGTCCTGTGATTCTGTAATTTGGAAAAGTGATTCCCACAGCTGAGCATTCATCCCATGTCCCCTCTCCCCTCTGCCCAGAGATGAAGATGTACTCCCTGGCTGTCACCCCCAATGGGCACCTGGAGGGCAGGGGGTCGATGCCCCCTCCCATCATCCTGCGCACGGCGGCCACCCCGATGCCCACCCCGAAGTGCTCCCCCCACATGGACTCCGTGCACACCTTTGTGGACTCGAGGAGAGGCAGCAACGCTTCCCTGGACCCCGCGAGCTACGATCAGAAGTCCTTGGTAGGTTCTGGGACATACCGGGATTTGGTGTTTTCCTGCTTGGAAGTCCAGGCCAAGCCACCTCAGTGGAGATTCCCAGCCTGAGATGAGTCGTAAGTTCACACAGTTACCCCAAAACCCCCTCAGAGGAGGAGCAGGAATCTTTTCCCACCCACACTGGCCGTTTGTGGTGTCTCAGAGGAGCTGCCAGCCGATCCCGTGAGGACGAGGCCTGTTTCCCCCCTCGGTCGTATCTTTTTTGGGGTTGTATCTTGGATTTACAAGGGGGATGAAGCATCGTTTGTCCTTCCCAAACCAGCTGAGCTCTGGTTACAGTGCAGCAGCCCCGCTGGAGGGGAAATAGAGGGAACAAGGAGCAGGCTGATGGATTGCCAGCAGGCACAGCTCATGGAGCAGAGGTCTGGCTGGAGCTCTGCTTTGGCAGCTGCCTGTGCTTGCCTGCAGCAGGGGAGCAGGAGGGCAGCTCTGTGTAAACAGGCAGCAGGTCAACAGACAAAGTGGATTTTTGCTGCCACTTATTGTCCCATTCCTGTGCTCTGTAACTGCAGTATCATGTTCAGATCAGGGCAGCAGACCGTGAAGGCACTTCAGGCAGAGGCAGAGCCACTATCCCCCTCAGTAAAGCTGCTTAGTCAATGTAATGCTTTTGAAAAGAAAATAGAGATGACTGTTGTTTGCCTTGGGCTTTCATGGGATGGTGAGGTGCTGTTCATCGTTTGAATCCTTTCTGGGAGAACACGTCCGTGCCACCAGCCAGAGGCAGATGAAGCAGTGAGAGAAGAGCTGCCCAGCACTGAGGAGGAGGAGGAGGAGGAGGGAGGCAGTTTGCCTTGCTTTATGCTGGGAGGAAGCCATGGAGAGAAAAGGAGTTTCCTTCTGGCTTTTCTGCACTGACCTTAAGCTCTCTCAGCCTGCCAAAGTGCACTGGCACAGCCTGATCTGTGCCAGAAATCTGTGTGAGGAAAAACATTCATTCCACTGCCTAATGCATTCAATTGAAGAGAAAATATTGGAAACAGGGGCATGATTCCCAACAGCCACTTGGGTGCCAGGGGCAGGGAAGTTGTAGGCTTGAGGAACACGAGGAAAGAAAACACTACTTCAGCAAGAGTGTCTTTGGGTTCAGTTTTCCTGGAGAATTGGTGCTGTCAGGGCAGTGGGAGGTCACACAGGATGGAGGATTGGCAGCTGTGCCAGAGGAGAGGATCAGGAGCACCTTCAGCATGGCCTTGGCTGGGTGCTGGGCTCCCATCCCAGGGCTTTGGCCTGATGGAGTGGGAGTGGCGAGGGAAGCTGGGAGGGGAAGGCAAGACTTGCAACAAGAAGGATCTTCCAGTCTGGGCAAAACACTCCATCCCTTGGCTTCCTCCTGCAAGCAAACCCTCAACTGTCTTTCTTCTCTCCCAGTCTAGCCTCCGCAGCTCCCCCTGCGCCAACTGGGGCACCAGCAGCAACTGGGGGAGCCGGCGCTCGAGCTGGAACAGCCTGGGCAGAGCCCCGAGCCTCAAGAAGAAGAACCAGTCGGGAGAGAGGGAGTCCCTGCTCTCCGGGGAGGGCAAGGGCAGCACCGACGACGACTCGGACGACGCCAAGTCCAGCACGGTCAGCCGGCCCTCGCTGCACCGCCGGGCGGAATCCCTGGATTACCGCGGCTCCCTGGAGCTGCCGGAGCTGCTCCAGCTGCCCCCCGTGCGCCACTCGCTCGGGGTGAGCCCCGTGGCCATGCTGCCCCCCGAGTTCCAGGACTGCAACGGCAAGATGGTGCACGTGCCCAGCGAGCTCTTCCTGCGCGTCGACGGGCACAAGGAGGATGCCCTGGACTACGAGGACGACATGGAGGATGTGAGTGGAGGGGGAGGTTGGTTGGAGGCTCCTGTGTTAAGTGGCTTTTCCACTTAGCACAGGAGGGCTGGTTAAAAAGTCCATCGTGGAAATGTGTTGCTGCCTCGTGGCTGGTGTAGGGAACGCCAATCCCGATCCGAGGAATGGGCCTTCACTTCCTCGAAGATCTCTTTTTTAAGCCACTGAGTTGAGCTGTTACAGTGGTCTCCCACACGGGGATGTGCATCCATTTGCCTCCTTTTTGGTCTGATTAAGATTGTCCCACCAGCCCAGGATGCCTCCAAAAAGGAGCTGTGGACAAAACAACTAGTGAATGTCTTTACTCACAGGAGATGTTTGGCATCTTGAAAGCCTGAAAAGAATGTTTTCTACTTAGCTTTTTGGTTGTTTCAGGCAACTTTGGGTGTCAAAACAACACCTGCCTAGAAGTCTTGCTTTGTCATGTTTATATGTCACTCTACAGCAGCCCCTTCTTCCACCCCTTTTCCTCCCTGTTTTGCTGGACAACTGTGACAATGCTCACCACAGCTCTGTCCCAAAAGCTGTGACAGCCCACAGGCACTGTGAAATCCCATGTACTGCCCCCCTGTCCCCCCCTTTCACAAAAAGCCTGTGAAAGTTGAAGAGGCAGGAAAATAAAAGAGGAAGAAAAGGTGTTTCTTCTTTTTTTTCCCAGAGTTACTGCTACCGGATCCGCAAAGTCCTGGAGCCCTACAAACCCCAGTGGTGCAAGACTCACGAAGACTGGTCCCTCTACTTGTTTTCCCCCCAGAATCGGTAAGAAATCCCAGTGAAATGCCAGCCCAGCAGGTTTTTGTGGTGGTGGAATAGGGCGTTCCCAGCGAGTCTTCCCTTAGGAAAACTCCCTCTCTGATACGGGGTTTTAGAAATCCAGTTTCTGATTTTGAGGCAACTTCTTCTGTTCTGTGTGGGCAGAAGTTTTGTGTGGTTCACTCCATGCCCATCTAGGAAGAAGAGTGATTTGACCAGCATTTATAGTAATTAATAATCAATGATAATCATGGCTGAAGAATGGAAATACTGGCTCACCACCTGGGCTGATGCTGGTGGCACACCTGGGGAAGACTTTTGGGTAGGAGTCTGTTACTGCCCCAGACATCTGAAGGACTTTTTTTCTCCCCACCATTTTTTAGGTTCCGGGTGATGTGCCAGAAGGTCATTGCCCACAAAATGTTTGATCACGTGGTGCTGGTCTTTATATTTCTCAACTGCATCACTATTGCACTGGAGAGACCAGACATAGACCCACAGAGCACGGTGAGTACCTGGCTCATTTTGTTCCTCGATCCCCCATCCACTTCTTCATCTTCTCAGGGCAAGACCCTGCAACAGAAAAGATGTTTGTTTTCTAACTTTGCCTCTCTTTCTTGTTCTGTGTTTGACAGGAAAGGATATTCCTCAGTGTTTCTAATTACATCTTCACTGCCATCTTTGTGGCTGAAATGATGGTTAAGGTAATTACATCTTCATTCCATGGCCCACAGCGAGGCCTGGCAAAGACCAGAATGTGGCATAGTTATGATCTGGGGGAAGATTTAAATGTCTCTCTTCTCTTGGCTGTAGGTGGTAGCTCTTGGCTTTTTCTCTGGGGAGAACACCTACCTGCAGAGCAGCTGGAATGTTCTGGATGGAGTGCTGGTCTTTGTGTCTATCATTGACATTATTGTGTCCATGGCATCAGCAGGAGGAGCCAAAATCCTGGGTGTCCTTCGTGTTTTGAGACTTCTGCGGACCTTGAGACCTCTCCGGTATGTGCTGATACATCGAAGAGATTGAAAAAATTGCACATGATCCATCAAGATCTGGCTTAATAACACAGAAAACTGAAATGCAATATGAGGAGAAGCATCTTTGGGGAGCACTAAACTGGTGAAACTGTTTGAAAACAGTGAAATGAGTTATAATTCATCTTCTCCAGCACGGAAACGAGCGGCTGGAGTTCGGAGTGAGAGGTGTTATCGTACTCAGGCAGCGAGTGCAGTCAGTGCCTCCTCCACACTGCATTTTTATCAGGGTTTTACAAATCAGTCTGGCTCCTTCTTCAACTGCACAGCCCCCCAGCGAAGAGCTGGCATTGGATGGCGGAGAATTTGCCATTGAACAGGTGCTGACAAGGATTTGATAAGCTCCAGTATCTTTCTCTGCTCTCCAGTGCCTGCTCAGAGCACTGCACAACAACCACTCCCTCAGCCAGGCACAGGGTGGGAGAGCTTTCAGTGCTGGAGGAAAGGAGTAAAGAGAATTTGTATTGAGGTTGTGATTATGCAATAACAAAGAGTGATCGTGCTTGGGGGGATTTCTATCACTCCCGGCTCCAGTTCTATTTCTGTCCTGCTTGGCAAGAAACACAAACCTTTTTTAAATGAAATTTCAGGGGAAGTGAGATAGTCACCTCCAGAAACCTGCAGGCTTTCTGGTGCAAAGCCACACTCGTGAGAGTGATAGGAAGAGCCAATGTTTTAGGCTCAGACCACAAGAAGAGCAGCTGCTGCTCTGTGTTTCCTCAGTGACAAGTAATTTAGTGTTTCTGTCTCCTCTCTTGTTCCCATGCTCTGTTCTGCTGGTAGCATCAGGGTCCCCTGGCAGTGCTGGGTCACCAGGAGCCACTGAGTCACCCTGGCCAAGTCACCCTGGCAGCACCTCAGGCCACTTGTCTGACCCACATAACTAGGAACAGAATTCAGGGCACAGGCAGTTCCTAAAGAAAGGCAAAAGGAAGAGAGAAAATTAGTCTTTGAGAATAACTAGGCCAGATCCTATGAATAGAAAGGAATTCATCACCTCTCACTATGGCTTCACTTAGCACAGCCTCTCCTAGGATTACTCCAGGGACCATTCCTAACACTTTGGAGGTGCAGTTCAGATTCCACATGATTTCTCTCAAACAGGAAAGGCCTTGTCCCTGCAGACACAGCTCTGCTCTTTTCTCTGGGCTTGGCAGCCACAAAGGCATCATTCCCTGCAAGGAGTCACCCTGTCCCCTCTACAGACCCCTCCTGAAATCAGCTTGGATGTTCTTCAGTCAAAACACCCACCTTCCCCTTCCCAGAACAGCCTGCTTGGGCTTGTTACACTCAGGTGTGCAAGTACAGTTTTGAGACACCCATGGGAGAGCCATTCTCCAGGCACTCGTACAGGAAAGCAACACACTTGTTCTCCAAAATACCCAAAAGCTGCTTAAGGGCACTCACAGCAACCTGCTCCCTAATGGGATTGACCCTTTGGCTGTGGAGCTGCTGCTCACAGGTTCCTGTCAGCTCAGGGGCAGCTCAGGAACTAATTAGGAAGCAAATTGGAATTACTTTGTTTGAAAAGTTGTCAGGGGGCCCAGAACTCTACTCTTCCACCTGTAGAAGGAGTCTCCAGCACCACTGTAAATTTGTTCACACTTGTGTGAGGAAGGAGGTTCCTGCCTGGTTTGGGCCCCTCTGCTTGGATCAGAGCCCTCAGAGGGATCACCTCTCTGGACAGAGGTACAAACAGCCCCATAATGGGAACTCTGGGATATTCTGCCCAAAGAGAGTCTTCCCTCCTTGCTCTGACCAGCAGCAGCCCAACTCTGCTGACAGGGTGTCTCACATGGTTTGAATTCCATCTAATGTGACTGGGGGTGTTCTGCTTGTCCAGATAAGTCGTTAATTGTCTCTGAACGCTGCCTGCAGGTAGAGGAGGGTTGTGTCAGCTTCCCTGCAGCCCAGAGAAGAGGAAAAGCAGCTGGATAATAACAGGTCAAGCATAAAAATTAAAAGCTTCATTGTCTTGTCATTTTTTTTTCAGAGTCATCAGCAGAGCCCCAGGTCTGAAGCTGGTGGTGGAAACCTTGATCTCCTCCTTGAGGCCTATTGGGAATATTGTTCTCATCTGCTGTGCTTTTTTCATTATCTTTGGGATTTTAGGGGTCCAGGTAGAGTATTTCCCTCACCGTGGCCATCTGTAAGTGAGTGCTGCAAAAGGGAAGCTGCTTTTCTCACCTGCTGGGGTTAAGGTGGAATTAATGAGCTTAAATAACCCCAAAACAGATTTCAGTCAGGAAGGAAGAGCCAGGATCTGGGAGAAATGCCCCGGGGTGGGGTTGACATCTGCTCACTGGGAGGTCCTCAGGATAAGAAGAGCAGACAGACCTCCCTGAGGGACAGCACAGCACCAGCTCAGCCTGCCTGAGGGCTGAGGAAGGGACAGACAAATTCCCAAATCCCTCCTGGCATTGTGTGCTGGGATGTACAAGATATCATCCTCCCAACAAGCCTGCAGGATCACCTGCCTTCTGTGTCTGAGGCAACACACAGCAGTGTCCCAGGGCTGAGGTTCCACCAGAGGGGTTCTCCTGCCATGTGTGTGAGCTGGAAGGAAAGGAGAGGAATTCCCCCTTGGCAACCAGCTCTGCTCAGGGAAAGAAAGACAAATCAGAGAACAGACTTTTTTCAAAGTTGCTTTTTTTGGTGTGTTTTTTTTTTTTTCTTCTTTTCTTTGTGCTTCTCAAATGCAGCTCTTTAAAGGGAAGTTCTACTACTGTGACGGTCCTGATGTCAAAAACATCACCACGAAGACCGACTGCACCAACGCTCGCTACAAATGGGTCCGGCGCAAGTACAACTTCGACAACTTGGGGCAGGTAAAATCCTTCATTGCAGGGATTTCTGTACCAGCTTTTAATCAATGAACACTTAAAACGTGCTGCTTGAGGAGGGTGTTGGAACCTCCACCACGGGAAGTTTCCAAGAATGACTTCAATATTCATCTGGGTTAATGGTTGGACACGATGACTTTCAGAGCTCTTTTCCACCCCAGGCGATTCTATGAGTAAAATTTTCTGTGGGTGTTCTCTGGGTAAATAATTCTATGGGTAAAAATGAATCATGTTCACCTCTTGATCTCTTGGAGAGAGTCTTCCTAGAGTTACACAATTCCTTGTTTATAGGAGAGTGTTGTCTCCTATAAACAAAAGCTACTGCTTTGGGATGCAGTCTCTCATGTATGGACCTCAGCTGTTCCTTTTAGTCCCTTGATTTCTAGCTGTTATATTTGAAAATGAAAAAAAAAAAAAGTGCTTTTTACTGGCTGAAAAGCAAGTCAGCCCATAGTAGGAGCTGGGATATAACATTGCTTTTTGAAACTGCATGATGTTGGGCCAGCCTGAAATCCTGATTTTTAATTATGCTTTGGTGACCAGAAAGCCTGATGTGTCTGAGCAAAAGTCAGCCTATATGTGGGGGAAAAGGAGCAGTAACAACCTCATTTGCTCACTTTTAAACCAGGTTTAGGGGAAAACAAAAGCTGTTGCACTTGTCCATCAGCTCCAGGCTGGGTGATGTGTTATGAGCTGTGGGCTGGTTTTGACGAGGATTGTCTGGTTCTGGTTTCTTTTCTGGGGGCTGAAATGCAAGACTAATGTCTTCTGTCTTCTTGCAGGCCCTCATGTCCCTGTTTGTCCTCTCCTCCAAGGACGGGTGGGTGAACATCATGTACGACGGGTTGGACGCCGTGGGCATCGACCAACAGGTACTGCAGAGTGCAGGGGGTTGCTCTCACAGGTCTCATGCCTTGGGTGACTCCAGCGTTTTTGAAGTCCCAGGACAGAGCAGAGTTACAGGACTTTTGAGGTCCTGACTGCTCACTGAGCTGTCAAAGAGTTTTCCGTTGTCCACCGAGTTGCTTTTACAGCTCCCTATGTAGTACAAGCAAGCACTGATGGGGCTTTTAATGAGAATGAGGGTACTCAAGGATGGGAAACAACCAGGAATGTTGTGAAGGAGACCTTCAGTTGGTGTGTTATGTGGCATTTTCTAAGGAAAGTCACAAGTTTCCCGTTAGCACCCCATAGTAGCTACAGTAACACTTTGTACTTAATTTTTCCCGGCTTCTGAAGATCTCAGAACAACTGAGAAACATGAGCCCACATCTCAAATAAGAAAAGAAATGTGGAGCCTATCTTTAGCTGAAAAGATCCTGCTGGTAGGATGATGCACATCCACTGAGGTTTATCTTTAGCTGTATGATATAAATGCCAAAGTGATTAAATCCTGTAAGCCAATTTAGGGTGGGTTTTACACCAAAACTGACATTTCAGTCAGGGAGAAGGTGAAGGAGAGACAACTGTTTTGGGAAAAATCTCCTACCAGTCCACAGTAAACAACTGTCCTGTCTTGTTGCTGCAGAGCACCCAAAGCCCTGCCTTAAACACATCTCGTCTGTGCCACTTCTCCCTTTGTCTTTTAACTCCCCGCCAGCCCATCCAGAACCATAACCCTTGGATGCTTCTCTACTTCATCTCCTTCCTGCTCATCGTCAGCTTCTTCGTGCTCAACATGTTTGTGGGGGTGGTGGTGGAGAACTTCCACAAGTGCCGGCAGCACCAGGAGGCGGAGGAGGCGCGGCGGCGGGAGGAGAAGCGGCTCCGACGCCTGGAGAAAAAGCGCAGGAGTAAGGAGATGTACCTGTCTGGTCGGTAGACTGCCTTACAAACCAAAATCTTTCTGAGCCCTGCCTGCTCCCAAAGCCAGATCTTTTCGTTTTTTCCCTTCGGTTTTGTTTTCCATGGGATTCGAGAGGTTGTTTTTTTGCTTCGTTGCCTCTTTGGCGGTGCCTTAAGCCTCGGGTTGCCGACGCCCTGGAGCCGTCCTGGACGAGCCTGGTGGGAAGTATTACCTGTTTACCTGGCTGGGGGGAAAATCCTCCTCCAGGCAGAGTCCTCTCTCCCTCTCTGCAAGGCTGGGGTGTCCCGAGCACCTCAGTGTGTCCAAGGGATGTGGGGAGTGAGCTCCCTGTGTGCCTGGAGGCCTCTCCGGGGGCTCCCCGTGGCTTAACGTGCCGCTTGCATCCGAGGATGGTGGTGGTCGTGGTGGTTGTTTGATTTCTTAGTTCTTTTCTTAGACAAAATAGTTGTGATGCTTTTTTTAGAGTCCTGGCGCATGGCCCCGCATGCCACGGACCTGCATGGGGGCATGGACACACCCGGGGAGAGGAGAGGAGCCCCAGGATGGGACTGGCCAGGGAATTCTCCTCTAGAAAATGTCCATTATAAGAGATGCTTGTCCCGTCGCAGGCTGGGGTGGCCCTTCAGTCACCCTGGCCTTGCAAGGAGTCTCCATGGAAACACTGCCCTGCAGGGGCCATTAGGGTGCCACAAAAGGCCTGGAGCCAAAATCTGCTTCTCATGAATCCATCAGGGACCATCAAACCAGAAAAACACGTGAGCCTGTGCTCCTTTCCTGACCCAAACCTGGATTAATCCTCACCTCCGCTGCTCCTTGGCAGCTTCCACCTGGGACAAGCTGCCTGGTGGGTGTTTCCAGGAAAACTGGCAGGAAAACAGCCACACCAACTTCCCAAAAGTTTAGCGAGCAGGGATAACCTGCATTAGATGCTGGCAAGCATTTTTGGGGAGTAAGTGATGGAATATGCCCACTGTGATCAGAGATGAGCTTAGGCTGAGATCAGGCTGGAGTGCTTCAGGCCCTGCTTGCCACAGCAGTGCTGTGTCCCTTTGCCTAACTGTGTTATCTGCTGGAAGGACCTAATATTGTGACAAATGGCCAGTTGTCTCCCAGACATCAAGCCATAGGTATCTATTTTCAGCTGGGAAAATAACCTTTAGCCCAGCTCTAAGGACACAGTGTGCACAGGCTTTGCTAGGAGGAACCCCATCCCATTCCCTCCATCCATCCAGGCTGGAGTCAGGCTGCTGTATCCCTGTATCCCCTGCTTTTGTGGTCCTCTTTATCAGAGCCATGGGAGACAAAATGTCTTCACCGTGGTCTCCACAGGCTGACCTGACACCAGGGTGAAGGCCAAGCCCATTTTGGTTTTGTGAGTTAAGTAGCTAAGGGTTAAAATAAAGCCCAGCTCAAACCAGCCAGCTGCAAACAGACACTGAATCTCTGCAGAGATTTAGAAGAGTACAAATGCAGCTTCATTTCCCCTTTTGGCTTTTGAGCTCGAGGGTGGGAATGCTGAAAGCAGCATTCCCAACACACTAAGGGAAATCAGCTTCAGGCTGCCAGAGTTGCTTGGTGCAGAATTTCTACCCCAACATGCTGAGAGAAAACATTCAGATAAACTCGAAGTTTATATGAAATTTAAAAAAAAAAAGCTATTTCCAGAGAACATTAAGCATCCTTAGAGAAAACAGACCATGGCACAGGTAAGGAGGCACAGCTTAGCCACAGCCAGTTGCTGTTCCTGACTAGGAAGTAAATCTTATTAAAAGCCTGGCTGTGACTTGCTGTTTAGACACCAAAAGGAGCCCTGTCAAAGTGATGGACGCTGTGACATTGCCCCTCTTTATCCAGCTGTCTCCAAGGATAGACTGGAGGAGATATTTTGGAGTGCAGACCCAGGCACTGCTCAGAGGAGTTGTAACATTTCACTGAGAGCACACAGAGAGGAGGACAGATTTCTGGAAGGTGATCAAGGCAATATAGCAACTGAGAGGCAAAACATTTGGCCATGTGCTGGGCTTCCAGAAGGTTCCCTTAGATTGTCTGGCTCTACCTGCCTCTGTTCAGCAAGGACAACTTGGCACCCGAATTCGAGCAGTTAACAAGGTGAAATCAAATCTCTGATATGCATTTTGGAAGATTGCTATTGGCATTTGAATGGATTTTTTCTTTTTTGTCATTTCAATGGGAGGAGTTTTCACCTCCTGGGTAAATCAGAAGATTATGGATTTGCTGAAAACCCGTGGCAGACTCAGAAAGATGTGAGCTGTGCTTGGTGCCGTGCGTGGCAGAGTCTCTTTGGGATGTGTGTGTGTGTGTGTGTGTGTGTAGGGGTGGGGTGGCACCTTCCACTGCTTCCATGTGTCCCAGCTCTCCGTGTGTCACCCTGTGGAGCTGCAGGTGAGGCCACGGGGCAGGATGGGCACAGCAAAGCAGTGGAGAAGCCAGGAGCCCACGTGGGAAGCCTGAGAGAGAGCCCTGCTTTTAATTCAGTCCCCATTTCTACCATTCGAGAGACCACAAGAGAAGGAACAATTAGGGCTGTTAACAGGAGTAAAATCCAGCATAGCTCACAAATTAACTATCTGAGCAACACTTGTCCATCTGGGCTCGCTGTCTGCCTGGCACCCTGTCTCTGTGTCCTGTCTGCTGTCTGTGGTGTCCCCTGTGCTTCTGTGCATTGAGGGTTCTGTGGCATCTGTCCAAACCTGCACACCTGGAAATGCACCACAGAGCCATGGCAGGCTTGAGCTCAGGCCTAAACCTCGGCTTAGCAGCGCCTGGATGGTCCCTGGGTACAGCTGCCAGGCTCTGCAGAGGGATTGCTCCGTGGAGGACACAGCCCTGCAGCAGGACACACCCCGTGCAGGTGGGATGGGGAGTCACCATGGCTGGTTTGGGGGTGCTTTTCAGCAGGAAGGTCCCTCTCAGCCCACACCTCTGCTGTCAGGCACCACCTCAGAGCATTCCAAAACGTTTCTTTCCCATCTGAGGGCCACTTTCCTGGAGGGATTGGGGACAGGGTGACAGCAGGTTAACTCTGCTCACAGGAAAACAGAGGGCAGGGAGTTGAGTTCCCTGTAGAAATGCATTTGATGTGGTTTTAAAGGCAGAACTGCACAGTGAACTTTTTTATGTGAAGAGAAAAATTCAAGATAAACCAGAATATTTTCCTGACGCCATCACTGCTCCATCCACTGTATCTATGGGTGGATAAGGGTAGTGGAATTTAACAGTCCTGCTGCTCCCAACCTTTTAATGAGGTTCTCAGAAGACACAGACCCAAACCAGCCTCCCCAGATTGAAGTTTTTGATTAAAAACATGTGGATCAGCTTGATCTCCTCTGCCTTCAGGATATGGGGCCAAATCCAAGTGTCCTGTGTCTGCTGGGAAGGCAGCAGATGTGTCAGGTCAGCTCTGGGCTTCAAAAGCTGGAAGGAGGTCTGGGTGACACTGGGTGATGAAAGCAGGGCAGATAATGCTGGAAAAGCTGGAAATCACAGAATCACAGCCCAGGGAAGGCTCCAGCTGGGGACCAGAGAGTGCCTGGCAGTGGTGTCACCATGTCACTGGTCCCTGGGAAGACCCCAAAAACTTAGAGCTCTGAAAAAGAAAAGCTTTTTCCCCAATTTCTTGTGGCCTCAGATGTGTTCCTCCGAGGCATTTCCCAGCAGAGCTGTGTCTGGGAATCGTGGAAGGGAAAGGCCAGTTTTAAGACCCAGCAGAGATGCCTCTCAAAGCACTGACTGTAAACTCTTCTCTGGAGGGGAACAATCTCAGGCAGCACTCAGAGGTATTTAAGTTAATGCATCCTCTCAGTGCCACAACCCTCTGTGTGTATCCAGCAGAAACATTCGAGCTGTAACTAAAATTTTGGGCACTGTATATCTGAGTGTTTAGTGTTTCCAGCTAGGGAATTATCAAACCATCTCCTTTATTTTTCCAGGCAGCTGCAGGTAAGGAGCTGCTCTGTGCCAAGCCTGGATAAACCCATTAGGGCTTTCTAATGTTTCATGCAGAGGATTGTAATGGAGGAGCTGTAGCTGGCAATTATAATGCCAACCAAAATGCTTTTAAGCTGGGAGACGGCGCTTCATTAATTTTCATGTCAGCACAATCACAAGCAAAGAAGTTTAAATACTCTGCAGGGAGGTGAGGTTCAAGCATTAGCCAACATCTAGAATTAGGGGCAAGAAAGGGCTGTGGTTTGCTTTTTTTTTTTCATGGGTTTAATGGTTTCTCCTTTCCCTCCTGCATTTTCACCAGTTCAGACCATCAGCTGAAGGGAAAGTTGTCTGTGTTTGGTGGAGAGGGACTATTTACAGAGCACGGGGTGACAGGACAAGGGGTGATGGCTCCAAACTGAGAGGTTTAGATGGGACATTGGGAAGGAATCCTTCCCTGAGAGGGTGGGGAGGCCCTGGCACAGGTTGCCCAGAGAAGCTGTGGCTGCCCCATCCCTGGCAGTGTCCAAGGCCAGGTTGGATGGGACTTGGAGCAACCTGGGCTAGTGGGAGGTGTCCCTGCCCATGACAGGGAGTGGGACTGGATGAGCTTTAAGTTCCCTTCCAAGCCAAACCATTCCAGGATTCTGTGGTGACAGGAGTCTGCTAGTTGGCTGGTGGGAGTCTCATCCCAAAAACCATTTCCCTGGAGAAGCCAAGGCACAGGTTGTGTTTTGCCTCCTGCAATTAATGATGGATTAGATGTCCCCCGTTTGCTGTGCCCACATCCCCATGGTCCATGGTACTCCTCACCCTGTTCTCCTGCAGAGCCCGGGTCTCTGCCTGAACAGGCTGTTGGAGCAGTGAGCACTTCACACCCAAACTGGGGAGTTTAAGATTGTATGTTCTCACTTAGAGTTAAAAATGGGTGTGAACTGAGAGAAGGCCAGAGCCACTTGCTTTGCTGTTGGCTGAGCTAAAACTATTCCTAAAGGGATCAGGAATGACCAGAGCTGAGGCCTTGGAGCTCTGCAATGCAGCCTCCCTCCTGCCTGGAGGGGTCAGAGCTGCAGTGAAGCTGCTGTGGTCGCTCTGTCCCTGCTTCCACCCCGCTGCAACCCCTCTGCCATCCCGGAATCCACTGATCCAACACCGGCACTGCCGGGAGCCGCTGCCGTGTCCCTCCGGCACATCCCGGCTCTTCCCCCAGCCTGGCATGAGCAGCATCTCCTCTAATGGACATTGCATGGGGTCCTGCCCTGAGCATGGCACTGTGCATGTGTTTTTATTGTCACCTTGATCCCACACTGCCCCTGTGCGTGTCTCCCCTGGAGAAGTTTCTTTTCCGTGTGTTAACTTTGGCTTCAGGTCGTGTGCGTCCTAAAGACATTTCCCAGAGCTCCTCATCCCATGTCCAGTTAAAGTTGACCAGGCATAGCCTGTGCTGAGAGAGAGACCTCTGAGACACCTCTGGGCTATAAAACAGACCCACCTTTATGGCTGGGTGGTTCCTCCTTAGTTGTTTTATCTCCAGCCCACATAAAGAATGAGTTGTGTTGCTGACAGGCAGCTTAGAAGGTTTTCTGTTCAGCAGCTTTACGGTGGAAAATGTCTTCTTGTGATTATCCTTATATAAGTAGTTTATAAATTATAATAAACACCTGATATTTTGCTGCACAGTGAATCAGTGGCTGCATTTGGGCAGGTTAGAAGGGAGTTACAGTCACCTGCAACCTGTTTCCCTCATGTGCTGCCAACTCATCCCTGCTAATGTTCTTCTGAGATCCATTAATCAACCATTAGTCATCAATAAGTAGTCCCCTAATATTACCTTTAACTATTAGGGGTATTCTCAGACCTCCCAATGAGCTGATTATTTGCATTCCCAAGAAGACATTTCCTAAAAAAAAAAAAAAAAAAAAAAAAGTATTTTGTAATCCTGACTACACATGAAAGCACATCGTACAGGCTAAAATAATATCAGCCTGCAATGTTTTTATTATTATTTTTTAGACACGCTGAGCTCAGTAGCAAAGACAGCCCTACCAGCCCAAGATGACTTGTAGGATTAAGGCACATGAAAGCAACAGAGAAATGTATTCAAAACCAACTCTGTTTGCTTTCATCTTGTTTTTCCACACCCCTTAAAAATAAAAAGAAGTCTTGGTGACCCTGGTCAGAAGGAAATGTTTTCAAATGCCTCCACTGTACATTTAACTACCGGAAAAAAAAGCTGTAGTTGAAAGAGAGCAACAGATTCTGTTTCCCTTTATCCAATTAATTTTAGGGGTTTGGACTCTAATCTGGCATCAGCTGCGCCACCAAACCCCCCCACACACACATTTTAAGAGTCATCTGAAAGATATTAGCAGGATGAGAGGAGTGGAAGATGTATTTTAGGGAACACTGAGTACTCCTGAACTCATCTCCCTCCTTATTTTTAAGGTAAAGCAATTTCTTTTTTTGAGCTGCTCATGCATTTAAAGCTTAATTTGCTGACATATTTGCAAAACCCCCTCTCTGTTAACAGCAATCCTGCTCCTGCTTGGTATGACTTAACGTGTCTTTTTCCACTTGCAAAATCTGCAGTTATGCTGCCCTGGCCTTATGTAAACTCTGAATATTTACATTTCTTAAATTTGAAAAGAATTTGACTCCATCTGAGTGCCCACAGCCATCTCTGTGGTCACAGTCTCATTTAAGAGAGACACACACAGTAAATCCCAGGGTAAGTAAACCCAGTCCCAGGGTCCAGACACTCTCCTTGGAACAGCCCCAGGAACTTGGATCATGTGCAGAAATTTCCCTATTTCTAAGAGAAAAAAAGGAGGAGTCATGACCAGAGGCAGAGATAGAAAATTCATGTGGTCACAGCCTGAATGAATATTTACCCTGAATCTATAAAGGTTTTTAGATGCAGCCAGGCCCTGGTTTTATATATATGTGTGTATATATATATATTGGTTCGTGATGTATTTTATGACTATGAACTTACATTTATATTTCCAGAGGAGCTTGTGCTGATTGCCCTTGCAGAGCCCAGTGCTGAGCACCCTCTCCATGGCTGCTGGTGTCTCCTGTGTGCTACTAACCCTCAGCATGTGCCCTGCACAGGCCTCGCTCTGTTCCCTTCAACCCCCCCCCCCAAAAAAACCTCCTGTCCCAGCAGCTGAGCTCAGCTCCCGTTTTTCTCCCCCGTGGGACCTGCCCGACATCAGTGGGACTGGGGGAGATGCCAAGCCCAGCCCGACGAGCCCAGCCCTAAGCCTGGCTCTGACCCGGAGCTGAGGCTTAGCCAGGTCGGAAGCTTTGGGACCTTTTCTCTTGGCTTTGGGTCTCATTTCCATCCTGCTCCTCACCCTGCCTGCTTTGTGCCCTGTTCCTGGAGGAGGTTTTCCTCGAGCCTGAGGCAGAGCAGCGAGGACAGGGAGTGCCTGGGAGGGAGAAGGTTGGCAAAGCCGTGGAGGTGCCTCGAGCTGGCGAGAGAGGTTTGGCTCGTCCCGATAACCCGCCGAGGCCCTCGAGGGCGGAATCGCTCGGATTTCTTGACTCAGTTCTTCACAGGCTTTTCCCTGGATGCAGGTATGCATGAGGTGACCCTCAGGCACCAGCCCTGCAGCAGGGCCTGGCTCATCCCGTGCCTCTCCCTCTCCCTGCAGAAGCCCAGCGCAGGCCTTACTACGCCGACTATTCCCCGGCACGGAAATACATCCACAGCCTCTGCACCAGCCACTACCTCGACCTGTTCATCACCTTCATCATCGGGGTCAACGTCATCACCATGTCCATGGAGCACTACAACCAGCCAAAGGTGAGAACTCCCCAGCAACCTGGCTCCTGGGAAACCCAGCAGGGTGGGGAGCAGAGGATGCTCTTCCCTTGGGATACCATTGACCATTCCCTGTTCTCCGAAAGTCTCAGCATCACAATCCATCCAACTCCAGGCCAGCTCTAGCATTTGGGAGTCACTTGCTTTGGCCAAAACCTTCATTTCCCTGCTTTTGATTAAAAAAAAAACCCCAACAACAGAGGATAAGGCTAGTGGAGAGGGAACTGAACTTTTACTAGGAAAAGACCAATCCAAATATTTCCTCCCCTGATCCCGGACATGACTGACCCTCAGACTGTAAAACAGTCCAAAGTTTTAGGACATTCCTCTAAGAAATATAAACTTGAAGTTATTGAGTGCAGAGCAACGTTTCTTTTCCTCAATGAATTTAGAATAAACCAACTCGTAAGTACAACCCTTCTTTATGGATCCTGAAGTCATCATTTCCCAAGCAAACCTTTGGCATAGGCCATACAGCCTGTCCATATATTAATCTCCCATCATATTATGGGGCTCAGTGTTTACTTTTCCAGTATTCCATGGTCTGCCAGGTAACCTGCAAATTCCCCCTGGATGCTGAGCCAGAGGGGAAGGTGTGTATTTTACCCCAGCTGCCTGTGTGCTGCTCTGCCCCATAATTCCTTTGCAGAACAGCCTCTGTTTCACATGTAAATGTTATTTATCCAGATTAGGTCTTATTTACACTTGGTTTATGTTCACATAACGCAGTGTTGTAAATCCAAATGCAAACCATCATAGATATTGCATTTGTTCCCAATTCTGTCTGTTTGGATGTTCATAATTATCATTTTCTTATTGAAATTACAAAGGCCTACATTATATTGAGCTAAATTCCCCTCCCTCGCCGCTCTCCCCCAGTCCCTCCCCACCCAAAGAGCTGTTTTACTCTCCAACTGTCTATTTTAAGGTCCCAGCAAGATTCTTTTGCTATTGTTGGCCTGTATCTCCAATGAAATCCGTTATAAACACTCATCATCCTGGAGTATAAACACTGTGGATTCCTGACTTCCGAAGCAGCTCCACAGAGAGCGTGAACGTTGCACCAAATATGGACACGCTTTGCCCAGCTCTAGAGATGTAACATTTTTCAAGAAGGCAAGATTTAATCCAGCTCCAAGGTTATTTATTTTTCTGAGCTTTTGAAGCAAAGCCTTTGTCCCAGGGGTTGCCATGCTGGAATCAAGAGATGATCCATCAAGTCCTTTATTCTGCCCAAGGCTGGGCAGTTCAGAAATAAACTTCAGTAGGTGGAGAAGGAGTGAAATTTTTGTGTCTGCCCCAAACTGAACAAATTGTACACTGAAGTTGAACTTGACAGTTTTAGGCCAACTCATCTTAGTGCTTTTGAGGTTTTTGTTTGAATCAGTGTTTAATCCTTTATTTGAGTTTTGCTGTGTGATTTAGCGAGCTCTGCAAGCTATTATGACTTTATTTCTTTTATCCCTGTTCCTATGTCACCCTTGTCCCTGCCAGTTCCTCTGGGGGGGGTTTAGGAAAGGATAACTGGGCTGGTCTAACTGGGGTCTCTCTTTTCAGTCCCTGGATGAAGCCCTGAAGTACTGCAACTATGTGTTCACCATCGTTTTTGTGTTCGAGGCCCTTCTGAAGTTGGTGGCATTTGGTTTCCGAAGGTTCTTTAAGGACAGGTGAGAGTATTTTAAACTCCTGTGCATTTGGGATTCAGAGCTGAACTGACCCACTTTCAGAGCCAGATGCTGGGTAAATGTACACTGAGTGCCTGCTGAGTGCAGGGAAGAGCCAAGGGCTGTCTCACTGTGGGTGCAAACTTCACCCAGTGTAGGGACTAAAGATTCTAAGAACTGCAGGAGGAATTCTGGAAATCTCACACAATTCAGGATGCATCCTTTCCCCTGGGTGCCTCCCTTTCCACCAGGTCAGCTTAGAGGTCAGAAACAACCTGTTGGCATCAATCCAGCCCTCCAAAGAGTAGTTTTAGCAATCTAAGGACACAGAGTCCCCCAAAACAAGTCCTTTGGTGACTACTGGCTTTGTAAAGCCTTTTGGCACAGACAGAGCTCATTGTGTTCAGCCCCTCTGCCCTCAGAGCCCAGCTCTGAGCCTACAGGTTTCATTGTGCATTCCACTGAGCCAGAAGTGAATGTGTGTGAGAGCATGTCATGGTCTGGGGACCTGCTGGGGGGAAGGGTAAGACTGGACACTTTTCCACACTTGTCTGCTTCATTTATCTTGACTTGAGTGGCTGGGAGCTGCTCTGAGCAATGTTAGTGATGAAATTGTGCAGGACACGCAGTTTCTTCACCTCTTGCTGCCCTCCCAGTGCTGGTGTGAAAGGCCCTTTACAAGTGTTAGGCCATAAATCAAGGAAGATACTCAAGTGGGATAATTCAAGGGACAGGTGACAACGTGGGAGCAGCTGTATTGCATCACATTATGGGTCCCTCTAGCCTGGGGGCAGGCAGGGACACTTCCCAGTCAGCTTCCATCACTTCCCAGTCAGCTTCCATCACTTCCCAGAGCTTGTGGCTCACAGGGTGTCTGTGGCAGCTGCAGGGAGCTGCTTTTGTACCACACAGAGGATCCTGGGCCCAGATGGGAGAAGAGGAGAAGCATTTGGGAGCTGCTTGAGCCTGGTTTTGACATACAATTCCCTACTGTGCTCAGGTGTGATTTTAATTTTTTTGCCCTTCCTGTCTCTGCAGGTGGAATCAGCTGGATTTGGCCATAGTTCTGCTGTCCATTGTGGGAATCACCCTGGAGGAGATCGAGATGAATGCTGCTCTGCCCATCAACCCCACCATCATCCGCATCATGCGGGTGCTCAGGATAGCCAGAGGTGTGTCCTGCTCCAGGCCCTCAGCCATCCCTCCAGATACCTCAGGGAATGGTTTGGCCATTTGTTTTCCAGTCCTGCTGGTTCCATGTCAACCAGAGAACAGTTTTTCCAGTGGCATCTTAGATAAGGCTCTGAAACGTGGGATCACTGACCCAGACAAGAGAGGGACGTGGTGGCACTGAGAGCTGGAGATGATGCCCTGCACTGGGGAAGTCTCTCCCCATCACTGTCCCATTTTCCTGCCTGGGCACACTGGAGTTCTTGTGGCTTTGGGTCTATTTTCATGGAATCCCAGAATGGTTTGGGTTGGAAGGGACCCTAAAGATCATCCAATCCCACCCCCTGCCATAGGCAGGGACACCTTCCACTAGTCCAGGTTGCTCCAAGCTTCATCCAGTCTGACCTGGAACACTTCCAGGGATGGGACAGCCACAGCTTCTCTGAATAACCTGTGCCAGGGCCTCCCCACCCTCACAGGGAAGGATTTCTTCCCAGTATCCCATCTAACCCTGCCCTCTGGCAGTGGGAAGTCATTCCCCTTTGTCCTGTCACTCCATGCCCTTGTCCAAAGTCCCTCTCCAGCTCTCTTAGAGTCCCTTTAGGCACTGGAAGGGACTCTAAGGTCTCCCTAGAGCCTTCTCTTCTCCAGGTGAACACCCCCAACTCTGTTTTTGTTGATATTAACATTAATTGGTGTGGGAAGTGCTCAGGATGTTCAGCTGCTCTGTGGGCCCTGCCAGGATGCAGCAAACTTCCCACGTGTATGAACAGATGTAAGAGAGATGGAAACCCCCCCTAAAGGATCTGAACCTGGATTTCCTGGATGGATTTTGCTTGCAATATTCCCCAGCCCTGCTGACCAGGATTTGCTTCTCATTTCAGTGCTGAAGCTGCTGAAAATGGCCACAGGGATGAGAGCTCTGCTGGACACGGTGGTACAAGCCCTTCCCCAGGTAAGCCCCCAGACTTCATCCATACCCGGTGTGTTCCCCTTGTGGGCCTGTGGACAGCTCTGTGCCACCATTTGGTGGCCACTAGAAGCCACCTGGGGAGATGATCAGCTTTGTCTGAGCCTTGGTAGCAGAGTTTTTCATGGCACGTCCTGCTCATGTGGTGTGTGTTAGGTGGGAGAACCAGAGTGATGGAAAAAGAGTTGACAGAGTCAGAGCTCTTGTAAGTCAGAGCTCTTTGGAAGTCAAAGCTCTTATAAACCACAGATTTCACTGGCAAGTTCAGGAAACACAGACAGAGAAAGATGTTGGTGAAAGCAGTGGGAGCTTCTAACTCAGCAGTTTTGTGAGGCAGGAACAACCTGTTTATGGACACTGTTGCCAGAGGAGCTGCAGCCTCTAAAAAGCAAATGTGAGAGATGTTTCTGGGTGTTAAAAGCTTGGAGTGGGGTCTCAAATCACCACATTCTCCTGAGCTGCAAGAGGAAAAACGATGCTGCCAGTCTGAACATTTGATAGGATCCTTCAGCTGTTCAGTTCCTGGAGAGCACATTTTTATGGACCTGTTTATGTGAGAAAAGAATGAAAGAAGCTTTTTGCTGACTTGCAGTCCTCCATCAGAAGAATTCCGAGAAGTTTAGGGTTCCTTTGTTTTTTTAAATCTTGTCCTCTTTAGGCTGTGTTCTGGTGGTGTGTGAGTTTGATGGTCTGAGCTCTTTAGGATCAGCTGCACATTCCAATTTCCTGTATCACCAGGCTGCTGTATCCCAGCAGACAGTGCTAGAAACATTTACATAAAGCCAGGTTTTACCCAGAACTGGGTCCCAAATGAGGTGCCAGAACCCTGTCACCTTCTTCTCTGACCTGGCAGTTCAGCAGCAGCACTTTGAGGATGCACAGACATGATCAGACAAGTCCTTAGTTTTCAACTCTTCCAGAACATCCCACAGCTGAGCTGCTGGAAGGAGCTTTAGGAGTGGGACCAATCCATTCTCTGAGTCCTGGGATGGACTGGGAGAGGTGGTGGGCAGCCACATGTGGATCAGCTGGAGCTGTCTGCAGAGGAATTCCCAGGATGTGGCTTGGCCAAGAGCAGACACTGTGTTGGCATCTCTTCCAGAGGATGAGTGGCCACGGGAGAATCAGTAGAACCACTCCATGTAATCACCCAAATAAACCTCTGTGACTTAGTTACTGAGTACAAAGCAGCCCCTGATCTATTCAAAGTGAACTGGAAAACAAGGGGAATTTCTTTTTTCTTGGAAAGACCCATTTGCTTTACTTTTCATCACTGCCATGAAGATGTTTCTAATCTGAGACATTTGCCCTTTAGTATTCAGATTTCCTTTGCAGTGAAGGATTTTGGCTGAGACTAAAGCAGGGATTTCCCAACCTGGCCCCTGGCTTGGCATTTCAAGAGATTATTTGATTTCTTTCTTTCAAAAACCATTGTGATTGCAGCTCATATTTTCTCTCCCTCCTTGGTTTCTCTGCCCCTCAAACAATGGGGTGGCTGCAGGCCAGGCTTTTGGTTTCTTTGGGGTGTTCTTGCAGTTTACATTCCAACCAAGGTCTCTGTTAAAGGGAAAACCCCAGGGATATTCCAGGCAGATCTCATGCAGATAAAAATGCCAGTTTGGCCTCCAGTGAAGTTGAGAAAATGAGAAGGGAAGTTTGGGGTGACCTCTCCAACACAATCACTCTTCACAAAGCTGCAGCTTTCATTTCCAAGGCAGGGGAAGAGTTCCTACCCTAATTAATTTAGCAGCCTGAAACCACAGCTGGAAAATCCTCGTTGAATGCAGCTTCTAAGTGACAAAAAAAGCTAATTTCATGTTTATTCATTAAGGTTTGGGGGGAAATTCTTTGTATGGTGTCCATTTATGGGCTGACGATGACAAGGTATTGTCAGTGCAGAACACTTATTTTCTTTTGGGTGATTTTCATCAGCTTTGTTTTTTATTCAGCAGTAGATACAGTTTGAGTAGCCCTTGAAGAACCAACTGCCCCCAGATTTGGGGGAATGCAGCATTTTGATCCCAGATTGAGGCTGTCACAGGCTCAGTCTCTTCTGGAACTTCAGACTAAGCCTTGAGCTGCTCTTTTCAAAGTTTTCCTCCCCTGCTGCACTTTTTCCTTGTCTGGTAACCTCACATCCATCAGATCAGAGACCTTCTCCTCCACCTCATCTCTGAAAAAAAATGAGATGAAGTAGAGGAAAAAAAAATGAGGAGAGGCCAGAGAGAAAGAAAGAATGGCCAGGGAGGGATCTGAAAATGGCATCTCCTCTGCCCACCTTCTCCATGTCCTCTTAGTCCCAGCAAAAAAAAAAAAAAAAGCCACCTGGTTCTTTTTTTTAAGGATGCAAAGTGTTAGGGAATCAGCCATGCCCTGTTAATGAAATACATTCTTGTTTACTCTTTATGCTAAAAATATCTGGTGTTTTTAGTGTGAATTAGCCAAGTTTATTTGGTCATTGGATGTCATTTTGCTTTTTTCTTCTAGTGCTTCTTTTTGGAGCAATAATAGATAAAATAATCTCTTGCAGTCTGGCAAACAGAAGAGCACTGAACTCCTTTAAATATGAAGCAGGTTTTCAAGACCTGTTTCAAGTGTTTTCCTCTTCTTTATGAGCTCTGGCCCCATTAAGGCTCAATAATGAATTACACCACTCATCCATCAGCTGAGTGTTTCCTTGCTTGTACATCTGGTGGTTTTGTAAGCAAAGTCTGTTCTTGTGAGAGTCCTGTTTGATGGTGGCCCTTTAGTCCTTTTCCCATTCCCTGCTTTCCAAAGTCCAGCTCACCCTCTCTGCAGCATGACCTGCTGTCAGATTTGGAATCTGGCTTTTGGCTGGGTTGAAATGCTCCTGGTGTCAGTGAATCCCCCCCACAGCACTTCCAGCATCAACTGCCACCAAGAAACCCTGCAGTGACTGTTGAGCTGCCAGAGCTCTTCCTGATGGAGAGGACAAAGGGAATCCAGTCCAATTCCCACCTTCCTCTGCAGGGCCAACAACAGCAAGAGGAGGAACTTGCCTATCAAAAGTTCTGGGCTCTTTCTCCTTCTCTTTTCTCCCTTGATCCATGGGTGGCACATTAATTAAGTGCAGGCAGTACAGTACACCTCCTCTTTGTCTTCAGAGCTTGGATCTCCCCCTGGGTGCACTCTCTGCCAAGGAGAGAGGGAAGAACTCCTTGTTCTATCAGTGCCCTGAAGGGCAGGATCTGTAGTTTGCTCCTGTCCAGGACTTTATCTCCTTTTGGTGCTGTAATTCCTGTGCTTGTCTCAGTGTCAGCTCCTGAGGAGGTTTTTCTGGCGTTGTCTCGAAGCAGTTGGGGGACAAAAGGAATGATCTGCTCTTGCCAGACACTGAAAACCCCCAGTGATGTGAACTCAGAGAGCAAGAACGGGAATGTCTGACCAGGATGAGGTGGATTTTGGAAGATGGGTGTGTGGGGGCTGTGCTGCAGAGATGCCTGAGGGATTAGAGCAGCGAAGCAGAAATCCTGAGGCACAGAAAGCACCATCCTGCTGGCTCCTGGCACTGTGGGCCTGAGTGCACACACGGCTTGGTCAGGTCAGCTGGTGGCCTGTGGTTTCACCAGTGACACCATTTCAGCCTCCGAGGTTGTCTGTCTGGCCCTTCCCACTAATCCTGGAATTCTCACAGATGGCCTCTGTTTTTCTAGCAAATATATCCATTTTCTCTGGGGTTTAGTGCATAAATTAGCCTGTGCTTTCCCACTGCCAGGATTATTGCTTTGGCTGGAGGGGGATGGAAGGAAGATGAGGAGGACTCATGTCCTTGGAGAGGTTTGGCAGGGGCTTAGTTTTGTGAGAAATTGCTCTTGACAGGCATTCCAGGGAGCTGTGTGCACTGCCTGCATCAACAACTGGGATGCCAGGGTGTGGTGGAGGAATAATGGATGTCAGAGCTGGAAGAGGCACAGGAGGAACTGGCTTCACCCAGGCATTGCAGGACTGGGACCAGAGGAGACATTTGCTCCATCAGTGCCTCTCCCAGAGCAGGGAGAGCAGAGGCCAGCTGGGTGTGTGGAAAATCCCTTTCCTTGGGAAAAGGAAAGCTGTTCCTGGCCTTTTAATGGCAGGGAAGGGTGGCAGCTCCTCACAGAGGCCCTCCCTGCTCCTCTGGGTGGGATGGAGGACTCTGCCCACAGCATCCCTCTGTCCCAGACACACAGACAGCTCTGCCAGCCAGGATTCCAGGAAATGAAGGTCCAGGAGGAATCACAAGATGCTCACCAGCATCTCCATCTCTTGTGGCTTCTCTGAGGCACTTCAGGGCACCAGGAACGTCTCCAAGACGTTCTTCATCTCTGCTTCACTCCCTGGAGCCCCAGGAAATGATGGATAGCCCCTGGCTGCCAGAAAAAGGGAATATCTGGAGTTTTCTGTGCCCAGCCCAAGGCAGGGGGAGTTGGATGGATAACCAGAGCTGACCTGTTCAGTGCTGCTGGAGCAGAACCACCTCTCAGAGCCTGCCTGGGTCACTGGCTGCCAGAGTGGAGGCTTCTGGCCAGAGCTGGATTTCTGTTCCTGATGGAGAGTCCAGCCCAGGCATCCCAGCCTTTGGCTGCTGTGCTCCTGCCCCCTCCCATTCCTTTCAGCAACATGATTCATGCCCCATCTTTTCCTTGGCTGGTCTCAGTAGATCTCTGAGCACTTTGGAGACACTAACCACCTATCCCTGAGGGACTTACAGATGGGGAGGTGGAGTTGCAGGAGAGGAATGACTCACCCAGGGTCACAGACACTCTCAGTCTGCCTTCCCTCTGCTCACAGCCACTGCCTGACCTGCTGCCTCCACCTCAGCCCATCCCTGGGAACAAGCCTTGGGTCCTTCTCTGTGCTCAGGCCTTGGGGAAGGCCATGGACTGAAGAGGACTTTCCCTTTCCCTTTCCCTCTCCCCTTTCCTTTATCCCCTTTACCCCAGGACATGGGCAGAGAGCCATGGGCAAACACTGCCAAAATATTCAATCCACCCCTACCCTGTCCTGCTCCAGGAGCTCCACAAACAACCCGAGGGGCTTTGCTGAAGCACCTGAGCTGAGCTGTTTTGCTCTGAAGCATCAGGTGCCTCTGGGCTGCTCTTTCCAGCCTCTGGATTCTCCAGCTGCCTGCACACGTGGATGCAGGGGGTGGTCATGGCAGCAGGTTGGGGAGCAGCTCTGGCTGTTGGACACAGGGTGGGATGGAGTTTATCAGGGAAGGTGGGCTCATCACCCACCACAGGAGCTTTCCATTGCTGCTGTGTCCCACATCTCTCTCACATGGCCACGTTTCCAAATCAGAGCCAGATACTCAGGCACTTCCCAAGAGATCCCAGGGCACGAGCTGAGCTTTGGAGCTGCCCCGTGTCTGCTCTCAGGGCACAGCAAACCCCACAGCACCAAACAGGGCTCTTTCAGCATTTTTAAGCTCTGCCTGTGATGCCTTGAAGGATTCTGTTATGAGACTTTGCGGCCTTTGAAGGACTTGTTATGAGCCACGTTGGCTCAGTGATGCAATTAGTCACCATCATAAATACAGAATCTTTTGCTAATGCCCACTAGAAAGTAGCAAATTGTTTATGAGCAAATGTCAGCTCATAACATCCCTTGCATGTTGAAAGCCAGATGATGGTTTTGACTGATAACCTGGTAAGAACTTTGTTGTTAGTCTAAATTCTTTGGAATTTCATCAATGCCATAAGTTTGCAGGCTGATTTATTAGGCATTAAAATAGCAGTAAAATATTCAGGCTGCTTTGAGCAAAATCCAAAACCCTCTGCTGCAGGGCTTTAATATACCCTTGACTTAGAAGGCTTGTTTATCACTTTTTTTCTCCTTCCCTTTAATTATTTGCTCATTTGCCTCCCTGGCAGTGTGTGTGTGTGTGTGTGTGTGTGTATTTGTGCATGTGCCTGTTTTCTTGTGTTTTCTCATTTGCAGTCACTTTGCAGGCTGCCTTCTAATGTCTCCCAAACCATCAGGTCCAGCAGACACAAGTCAGGAAACATTATTCCAGAAGACAGTACAGGCAGATGAAATAATCCAACCCAGCCATCCACATCCCTGTTTTATCTCTGTTATTCCCTGTAGGATGGTAATAATGTTAGTGGAATTGCAGAGCTCTGTATGGAGTAGCCAGTTTAGGGTTTACAGCAATTACAGTCTCCACTGGATGATTTGACAACTCCCATTTCTTTAACACAAAAAAAAAACCCCTCTTTCATGAGTTAATTTTGTGATAACAGTTATCACACTGATAACCTTTCTGATGAAGTTAAAGAGTGTGGTCAAAATGCCCAACACCACCATGGCTGTGCCACCTCAGAGAAGAAAACTCTCAAATTGGGAGTTCACTGGAAGAGACCTTGGAGGTCAGGAATCCCTCTGCCTGACTGCCTGGATCACCACCTAGTTCACTGTTATTTAGGGATAAATGATGCTTGTGATGCCACGTGTGGTTGGAGAACTCTATCACTTTGTCTCTGTCAGAGCTGATAGACACAAGCAATTAAAGTGGCAGGAGAGATAAATGTGAGCAGAGTTACTTGCAGGTTGTAGCAGATCAGGTTACTCTGCCCTTCATGTTCTCTGCCTGAATCACAAAAAAAAAAATCTGCTCTTGGAGATGTTTTCAAGGCTTGGATCTCGTTTGGTGATGGACTCAGTGTGGATAACTGTAATGCCATTGGTGTTAAGAACCTTTTAGCATCATTTCACTTCTCTCACCCCCCTTCAGTCACCTTGCAGTGCTCATTAACACCTCCAGCAGCACCTAGAACTGCCAGGTGCCTGCATTTCAGTGCTGGTGTATGGAATAAGGCTTTTCCTTGGAGACACTGAAAGCTAAAATTCAGGAAATTGTTGTTGAGAAATGTTTGTAAAGGGGAAACCTTGGAGAGCTTCACCTCTCCCTGGAGCACATGTTCCTTTGGTGAAAGTCCTCCTGACCAGTGGAACCTTTGGAAACCAGGCAGTTCCTCTGGTGGCTTGTTATTGTCACTGTCTTCATGCTCAGAGTCCCAAACAGAAGGGGAAAGGCCCCTGAAATTCAAGGCACCAGGTAACAAAGTACCCCTCAGTAGGGAAGAGCCCCTGAGAGTGGCCAAATCCACATGAGTGGAGGGTGATGGAGAGGCACCAGAGACTGCTTTGCACATGGAGTATCTGCTCATTCTCACCCACAGAGGAGCTCTCTGGGTCCATTAAAGCAGAACTGTGAGAGGGGACCAGGGTGTTGGAAGCCAGGGCAGGGGTTGATTTGCCTCTGGCCACCCGTCCCTCCTTTGCTTGTGTTGAAAATGTGATGGAGTGATTTAATTCATGACCTCGACTTGCCTGACCCTTGTTCTGCTTTCTCCTTGTGTAGGTAGGGAACCTTGGCCTACTTTTTATGCTCCTGTTTTTTATCTATGCTGCCCTGGGAGTGGAATTGTTTGGCAAGCTCGGTGAGTGATGAGCCCGACGCCCTTCGTTTCATCCGGTTGATGTTTATTTGGTATCTCGCTGTTTCCTCTCTTCTCTTTCTCGTTCCTGGGCCTTCCTCAGCTTTCACAGCTCATGTTCTGAGGATGGAAGTTCTCTCTTGATCTCAGGGTCGCAGGTGACACATGAGGATGTAACACAGAACCTGCCTAATGAGCACAAACACACATTTAGAGACTTGTCCAACACCACCCTTGGCTGGACAGGAACTATTTACTGTTTAAATATATGTTCACAAAGATGGAAGTTTGCTACTGAAGGCAGAACATGAGCCTGCAAAGCTGGATGGTGGTCAGAGTGGTGCTGGAGAGATGCCACCACAAACATGTGCCTCCTCGGAGCTTCCGCCACACGCCCCATGAGCTCCCTGCACTTGGCTGACATTGCTCTTCCAGCTGCCCAGGGCTTGTCTGTCTGTTGTTCTCAGCATCACCTTCCCCTTTCTACAGAAATCAGGGAGTTCCTGGTTGTCCAGTTATTCCTCCAGCTTGAGAATACTGCAGCTGGTCAGGAATGTGTCCATCACTAAAACCAGGTGGAGGCAGAGAGCAAACACACAGCCGGCAAAGCCAGGGCAAAGCAGTCTCTGCCCTAAAGATGCTGTTGGAAGGGGCTGTGTCTGCCTCCTCCACAATTCCATCCCAATTAGGGCTTCAGGAGCACCAGAAGGGCCCTTCCTGCACAGAGGGTTTATGGCTGTCATTAATCCCCTTTATGAGTCCAGCCCTCTGCTCAGTCTGCAAGTGCCTGAAAGCAGAATAATTCTTTCAACCAAAAACAAATTATTTTTCAGTCTCCAACAAATTCTGGGGGGGAAAAAAATTAATTCTGCCTCCACCCCAAATGAAATACTGTGGGTTTATATTACATCTATCTAGATATATGGATGCATTTGTTCTGTCACAAAGGTGAAAAACAGCTTGTTCACAGAGGCACCTTCTGCTGCTCTGAATCCTGGTTGATTTTCCACACATCCACTGGCAATGCCAGCCCCAGGATCATAGCCTGGGGCCTGCTGTGGGGCTGCAAACTGGGAATTTAACTGGGGAATAGTTCACTCCTTTTTCCTGCTCACTGCGAGCCCATGTCAGCCACAGGCACCATCAGCACTCGCTTCCCCAGGGCTGGTCATTTGTGGGGTGTTTTTTTCTGTTTTTCCTTCCAATTTATCTCCAAATAATTACCTAAGAGTGAAATGCCCAAGCAAAAGATATTGCTGTCTGACCTGATGAATATTTAACAAGCCTGTGTTTTATGGGAAGAGGGATATTTCATCTGTTCAATTTGCATTCATTAGGATATTAATTCTCGGGGGGAAAATGTCAAATTGCTCCACTTTATCTCAGTGAATTATCCCTCATGGTAGATGTACCCTGTAAAAAATCATCAAGACAAGGACATAATCAAGAGGAAAACAGACAAAGGATGCTGTAGAGCAGGATTTCTTGAGACAGCCCAGGAATTCTGCTTGCTTCCACCTCCTTTTAGGTCTCTTTCTGTTGGCTCTGCCCATAAAGAGAATCCGGGAGATCACAGAGTGGTTTGGGTTGGAAGGGACCTTAAAGCTCATCTCATTCCACCATGAGATCACCACTCCCCGATGCCACCTGTCAGTGTGACACAGCCCAGGGTCCCACCACCAGGTTTGGGGGGCTGCTGTGGGAAAGCCAGACGTGGCTCCACTGACGTGGTTTTGCTTCTCTGTCCCGCAGATTGCAGCGAAGAAAATCCCTGTGAAGGTCTGAGCCGCCACGCCACCTTCACCAACTTCGGCATGGCCTTCCTCACCCTCTTCAGGGTGTCCACGGGGGACAACTGGAATGGCATCATGAAGGTGTGTCTGGGCTCTTTCTTCTCCCTGTAGGTACATAAAGATTTCAAGCAGGTTTCGTGTGAAAACAAAAAGGTTTCCTTTTAAAACCTCCAAGTTAAACTTCCTGATTTCAAAGCCAAGTGTATTTTCAGGTGGTGATTTGTCCTCAGCCTGAAACTTTGTTCCTTCATCTAATATTTCAGGAAAATTATACCAGTCCTTGTGACTGAGAGAGGTAACCTTGTGTTCTGTGTCCTGTGCCTTTGGGATGTATCATAGAATCCCAGAATGATTTGGGTTGGAAAGGATCTTAAAGCTCATTCGGTTCCACCCCCTGCCATGGACAGGGACACCTTCCACTAGACCAGGTTGCTCCAAGCCCTGTCCAACCAGGCCTTGAACACTTCCAGGGATGGGGAGTCCACAATCTCTCTGGCCAACACGATCCCCCTCTTTGTAGATGATGTAATTCATATTTTCTATCCGTTCTGGTTGTACCTGCGAGCCTTTGTGTCCAGGGCACGTTAATTGGATGTTTCTGTGTTTGGAGCCTGAGCAGAGCCCCAGCCCTTGTTAATCCCTCCCCTTTTCCCCCCTGCTGCAGGACACTCTCCGGGAATGCACTCGGGAGGACAAGCACTGCCTCAGTTACCTGCCCGTCATCTCCCCCGTCTACTTCGTCACCTTCGTCCTCATCGCGCAGTTTGTCCTGGTCAACGTGGTGGTGGCCGTGCTGATGAAGCACCTGGAGGAGAGCAACAAGGAGGCCAAGGAGGATGCTGAGATGGATGCTGAGATCGAGCTGGAGATGTCCAGAGGGACCAGCACCTCGGCCCCGGGTGGGAGCAGGGGCGGTGCCGTGGCCCCGGCGGGCCGGGCGCCCTGCAGGGCTCAGGAGGGCGTGAAGGCAGCGCTGCAGGTGAAGCACCAAGCCCTGGTAAGAGCTCCCAGAAAGCTCCTGTGCTCAGGGCAGGGAGGGGATGGTCGCCAGACAGTCAGATGCCAGGTGACACAGAGCCAAAGGGACAGGACAGCGTGGGAGGGCAGCAGCTCTGCTGGTCCCTCGGGGTGTCACCACCACCCCCATGGCCTGAGTCATCTCCCAAGGGCTCCCTGAGGGGGAAGCTGCTGGAAACGCTGTCCTGGCCATTGTTCCTGGGAAGGGTTGAAAAGTCCATCTCTTGCCACTTCCAGTTCGTTCCAAGGTTGTGAATTTTAAGTTTGGAACCATAACAGCCACAGGTCCCTGTTCTACTCTCCCAACCACTCCTTGTCCTTTAGGATGGGCAGCAGGACCAGGAAGGAATCTCCTAAAGCCCTGGGAATGCTGGGAATCTCCTAAAGCCCTGACAAATACAGCAAGGCCTGGGATAAATTCCCTTCACATGGACACAGATATACTCCTTGGGTTCTTTTTAATCCCACTTTGGGATATCCAGAGGAGATCAGGAGGGCGCTGGTAAAAAACTACGTCTTCCCACTGGCCCGTGCTCTGCTTGGGGCATGGCTAACTTGGACCCTGGGAATTGTCAGACCCCCTCAGCAAGAAGCTGGAAGTTCCTGGGTTGATTTTCCAGACACTGCCTGCTCTCCCATTCCTGTTAGTCCTGTAGGAAAACAGTGCAATCAGAAATCCAGGATGGGAAGGAGAGGCATGAGATAGATAATTGCCTCATCCCATGTCAGCAGCATGTGATTAAGAGTGAACATGGAATTCCTTTGTCACCACGATCACAAATAAATCTACCGTGAAATCAATGGGGGGGGTGAGATGAAATTACATGAAATTAGATTTTTGTAAAATATATGAGACTCTATTAAGACAAGGAAGAAGAAATTTGGTTACACAGCAATGGGGAATTCACTATTTGAATGTTGTTCCTGATAAGCATTTCTGCAAGAAAAATACACCAGAAACAGCGAGGTTGCTTTTCTCACTTTGGGAAGAGAGGGCACATCCTTTCACACAGGCTGGGATTGCAAAGTGAGTCCATCCTCTTAGGGTTTTCCTCATATTCCAATACCTCCCAAGCACATCAGGAGCCCTGCAGAGCCTCCTTTCAACCCCAGAAACTCTGCAAGGAGAGGTGATGAGGGGACAGCATGATCAGGGACCTGGCCACACATTTCCCCTTGCAGGTTGCTGGAATTCAGGTGAGGATTCCCTTCCCTGCACAGCAGTGAGGCAGAGGCACTGCAGTGGAGCTGTGGGAATTCCCTCACTCTCATCTCTGCTCCATCCCTGGAAGTGTCCAAGGCCAGGTTGGACAGGGCTTGGACCAACCTGGTGTAATGGAAGGTGTCCCTACCTGTGGCAGGGGGTGGAACAAGATGGTCTTGAAGGTCCCTTCCAACGCAGACCATTCCAGGATTTGTGATTCCATGATCTGGGATGCCCAGGCTCTCCTGGGCAGTCTCTCCTGTGCTCCCTGTGAGCTGCACTGGAAGGTGTTGTGAGATGCTCTGTGTTTTCTGACAGTTTTTTGCAGCCCACCTGTGCTTTTCCCCTTCCTTCCTGCTCTGGATGAATGGGACAATTAGGAAATGCCACAGGGCAAACGTGTTTGAGTGTTTAGACCCAGCCTTGCTGTGCCACTGATGCTTTTTATCTCCCCAATTTGAAGGAGGTGCTGAGCTGTGAGAGTGTGTCTTTAGCCATCCCAGACTCAGACACGCTGGAGGGGGCAGAGACTCCCAGCATGGAATTCCCGTCCTCCTGCTCTGTTTCCCACCATGTCCTGCCACCTTCCCACAAAAGCCCAGGCCACCAGGCTGAGGTGAATGATGTCACACTGTTGCTTCTGCGTTGTGACGTGGTGCTTTGGTGCTGTGCAGCTGCTGGTGGTGTCAGAATTGTCCCAAACCTGTCGCTTCACAGCCACAACTGTCCTTTCCAGCCTCTGTCCTTTGTGCTGGGAAAACACCACATCCCAGAGGACTATGCCAGCAGCCATGTGTGGGATAGGAATGAAATCCTCTTTTTAGCCCTAAAAGAAGTGTCACATGTGGTGTGCAGTGTGATGTGTGAGCAGTGTGTCTTCAAGCATTAAACCGAGAGCTGCAGGCAGAGCCTTTTTGTCGTAAAAACAGCATCAAATTTGATTTTATTGTTGTTCCTATAAGAACTTGTTTGTGATACAGTGTTGAGGGAACAGAGGCAGAAGGAGCTCAACAGGTCAGGCTTCCAGCAATCCCCAGAGCTGTGGGTTCAGGAGATGCTCTGGGAGATCCCCCAACAGACCAGAAGGGCTGTAGCCCCCTCTGCTCAGTCCTTCCCTATTGCCCCTTGAACCAGTGCCCAGATCCCCTCCTGATTTCCAGGGTATGGAATCAGGCTGTCAAGAGCAGCTCACCAGCTGGGAGCCAACAAGCCTCCAGTCCACGTTTCATATTTCAAGGACTTGCTTCAGTGGCCTTGCAGCCATTTGAAATTCGCCCACGTCCCTAATCAGGCCTCAACAGCTGAAACCTTAAAAATTGAGGTGGTTGATGTCAAGAAGAGGTTTCTGTTCATTTGTCCCATCCATACAAGATCCTACAAAGACAAACTGAGCTTTAATAGCCAAATGCTCTGATCCTTCTGTTAAACTGCTGAGAAAGTGGAGCAAGACCTTTTGTTCTCTGTGTGGCTGTGGGGTGTTAACAACCACCCGCCTGCCTCCAGCTCAGGTGTTGCTGTGCTGATGGAGCTTATTAGCTGTGATGGCCAGGGGCCAACTGGCACAGCCACGCTGCTGATGCGTTAATTCATCAGCTCAGAGACCTGGCTTGCACCCTAAGGGCTCCTGGGCACGGCCACGGGCAGTGCTGGGTGCCAGCTACCTGTAAATCCCTCCTGCTGGTCCCCCTCGGCTTCCCAGCCAAGCTCAACAGGGTAAAAGCACTGAGTAATTAATCTTGGGATGTGTGTCTTTAGGGAGCCGAGGAAAGAAATTTTTTAACCAGAAATATATGGCAAAAAAAAAACGGATTTAACCAGATCCTTGGTGACCTCAAAGCCTGAGGGATCTCAGGGCCAGGTTTTGCTGGCAGAGAGGGAAAACAGCCCAGCAGAGCAAAGCAAAATACATTTAATTTAAGACATGCAGCTGGGAAAATGTTTTCAATCAGTCACTGGGAGGCTGACGTTAAAGGAAAACCAGAGTGATTAGTTGTATTTTAGATAATGTGGTCAGTTGTGAGGGGAATGTGTCTAGGACCAGAACTGAGAGGAGGGAGCCAGGCTGCAGGTCCTGCTCCAGGGGCTCCAGCTCCCCCAGCACTTGGCCAAGTCATGGCATCACCTCTCACAGCTTCTCCATCAGCACCACAGAGGCATCTTTTGGGTCCCTAAAGCTCCCTAAGACCCCGGGATGGATTTGCTGTGAGGTGCCTGAGGTGACAAAGTGCCCAGGAGAGGCAGTGAGGGCTCAGATTTCAGGTTTGTGAGATGCTCTGTCCAGGCATTTCCAACCAGACCCATTTCACAGTGACAGCAAACAAAGAAAAATGCCTTTGCTACCCCCAGACAGGCTCCACACCCCCATAACTCACTGCCACAGTGTCTTCTCCTTCCCCCTGCCTCCTCTGGGGGTCAGTGGTGTCCAAAATGCTCCACGCTGTGGGAGGGAGCCCACGGGGTTTGCATGGTGTCGATGTGTGTGTTTAAATGTCTGCCTGTGTGTGTGGTTTGGGGAAATAACACAAGAATTTCCAGAAGCTGGTTTGGCCCCTCTGTCCCAGAGCTTTGAGAAGGACATCACCCCCAGGACGGACTGAAGGCATCCCTGGGAGTGTCAGAGCAGAACGGTGTGATAAGCACTGGGTTTCTCATGTGTTTAATGGATGGGCTTTGCTTGTTCTCTGTGGTGTCCAAGAGTTGACTTAGTGGAGGGTCACTGATGCCTCACTTGACCACAGCCACAGGCTGAGCTCTTCTCTCAGCACAGTGTACCTGTGGTGTCCTGCTGGTCAAGGGGAACACCTGCAGGAGGTTTTGAACCACAAAGCAGATGGGAAGGAGTTCACTGTAGATTGATCCCGTTTCTCTGTGTCCTTACAGGGCAGCTCAGCGTCCCTGAGGCCCCAGGAGTCCCAGAACCTGCTGACAGTCCGTAAGATCTCCGTGTCCCGGATGCATTCCCTGCCCAACGACAGCTACATGTTCCGGCCCGTGATGCCAGCGAAAGCCCCTTTCCCCCTTCACGAGGTGGAGATGGAAACCTATCCCTGCAAAACCCAAAGAGGTACTGCTTGTTTAGATTTCCCTTCCCTTCTCCTTCCTAGACAAAACCAGAACTAGGGAAGGGATGAGGTGTGCTGGGCACAGCTCAAATCCTGTGTCCAGTTATGGACTTCTCACAAGAAAGACATTGAGGGGCTGGAGCATGTTCATGGAAGGCAGCAGAGCTGGGGAAGGAGCAGCTGAGGGAGCTGGGGGGGCTCAGGCTGGAGAAAAGGAGGCTCAGGGAGGGACCTTCCTACTCTCTACAACTCCCTGACAGGAGAGGGGAACCACGGGGGGATCGGGCTCTGCTCCCAGGAAACAAGCTACAGGATGAGAGGAAATGGCCTCAGATTGTGCCAGGGGAGGTTTACATTGGATATTAGGGAAAAGTTCTTCACCAAAAGCATGGTCAGGCATTGGAACAGTCTGCCCAGGGCAGTGGTGGAGTCACCATCCCTGGGAGTGTTCAAAAACCACGCGGATGTGGCACTAGGGGACATGGTTTAGTGGTAACATGGCAGTGCTGGGTTAATTGTTGGACTCAGTGGTCTTTCCCAACCTAAATGATTCCATGATTCCAGCCATGGGGCAGCAGGTACATGTGATGGTTATATGGGAAGCAACCAGCCCGTGCTGAAGGTGGCCTGAGCAGGGCTTGCTTTGATTTGGTGACCATCAGCAGGAGGGTGGTTTCCCATAATTCCATGTTTTCATCACATCCCTGTATTTTCCCAGGAGAAAGCTGGTGGGTGGGGTGTCTGGGGAGAAGTGGGGCTCCCAAGCAATGCCTGAGGCACAGAGGACAGTCTGTTATCCGAGGAAAAGGGAACAAGCTGCACATTCCTCCTGAAGTGATCGGCCCAAGGATCAATAACATCAACCCGAACAAAAGCCAGAGTCGGAATTGCTTCCGGCCAGAGCTCCTCACATCCATTGTTCCAAGCACTCTGCAGCCTCAGGGCAGTGTCTTTTAAGACCCTACATCAAGTTCAGAGCTGCAGAAGTTTATTTGGGATTAGTATAAGGATTAGAAGCCACTCTCCAGTACTTCCTAATCAATCTCACAGAGAGCCCCCACCACCCAGGAAGCACGGGCTGCACAGAGCCTTTGAGGGGACACTTACCCACACTGCATCCAAGTGCATTTCCCTGAAAATGCCTCTCCATCTCTTTTGTTGTGTGAGCTGGTTTGAAGGGGAAATCGATATGAAACTCAATATCTGCCTCCCTAAAAGCACATGTGCTCCTGGAGTGGCTCCCAAGAACTTTTAGCAGCCCCAGTTCCTTTGATCCAGCGTGGTTTGAAAGGCAAGAACTGCTCAGATGGATGAGTGGGGGGTTTGCAGACCCTGCTCTGATTTCCTTGGGTGAAACAACTCTCTATTTGTTCAAACTCTCTGGGCACCAGTTCATGTTCTCTGCTCGGTATTTATTATTATTTCACCTGCAAATTCTTTACTAAGGAAAGAAAACAGCGGTTGAGTTTCATGGCTGGGCTCCTGGGGCTGGTTTTCGTCTCTGGAGTGGGTGTAAAGCAGGATTTATACCTGTATAGAACTGCTGCAGTGTTGGCAGGGGTGGGTAGAAGTGGCCAAGAATTCTGTGATGTTTCCCAAATTTCTCTCCAAGAGCACTTGGGCAAGGGACAGGACAGGGATATGACTTTTTACCTGGTGGTGGATGCTTCCAACCAGCATCGCCCCAAGCTGTGCTGCTCCTGAGCTGCCCAAATTCTTCTTCAAGTCATAGTCCCATAAATTATGTGCAAGTAAAACTGTGCCTGTGGACACTCCCATTAGTGTTTGTACTTCCATGAGCTTCCCAGGTCAGTCCAGGATTTCATCATCTCCCAGTACTCCACTGACCACACAGTGAAAATACTGTGAGATGACCAGATCTTGTGATATTTTGGGTTTAGATACAGTTTCCTGGTTTCCTAGAAAAACAAGAGAAAAAAATATCCAGCTCCAGAGATCTTTGGTGTTCCTGAGCCTGCAGTTTGGAGGGGGTTTGGGTTTCCTGTATGAGAGCTCGATGGAAAGCTTCCAACAGGAGGAAATTCCAACTGAGGACAGGGAGGAGAACAGAGGGTTTGGATTTTATGGCCATGTTTGTGACAGATTTTATGACACAGTTTTTCTGCATCATAAAAAGCATTTTATAAGGCCTGGAGTAGCAGATGAACAGCACAGGCTCAGCCTGAAATTCTGGGTCTAGGGGAGCCCAAAAAGGAATGAGGGAGAAGTAGGGTGGGAATTTCATTGCTCTGCTCTTTCTGTGGAGTTCTGGAGAAAAGCTCCAAAAGAAAAATGATTAAACACTAACTTTTCTTTCTCCCCAACAACAAATCTCTCTGTGAAATGCAACTGAAATGTGCCTGGATGTTTTCTGTCAGAGGTTCAAGTTTCTCGACCTCTGGGTGAGATCTCTTGAAGTGATGGATAACTGTGTTTTTAACATGGAGCAGCAATGGGGGAACAAATGTTGGGTTTCAGGCTAATGAGAACAATAAATCCTGCAGCCGAAAGAACAGAAAAGCAAGAGATCTTTCAAACAGCACAGAAATGCAGTAAAGCAGCACCACAGAGGGGCTGGGGAGGAGGGATTGCCTTCAGACCCAGCCAGGGGCCTGGGAGCCTTCAGGAAGAGAGTGATTCCAGCCTGCAACATGAGCTCAGGGATTGTCAGAGCACTTGGAGCAGGTTCCAAGTTGCTGATCAGCCCATGTTCAGCCAGGCTGTGCCTCGTGGGCTGCTGGTGATGGTTGGGCTGTGGTGAATGGGAAAGCTGCCCTGTGTCTGCCAGGGGTGTCTGCTCCCAGAGAAGTCATAGAATCCTAAAATTCCCTGAGCTGGAATCCACAAGGGTCACCCAGTCCAACTGCTGCCCACTGCCCTGGGGAGCCTGTTCAGTGCCTGACCACCCTCTGGGGGAAGAACCTTTCCCTAATATCCAACCTAAACCTGCCCTGACACAACTCCAGCTGTTCCCTCAGGTCCTGTCCCTGGTCACAGAGAGAACAGATCAGTGCTGCCCCTCATTCCATGGCAGGGCTCCCACTGCCTCTCCAGGGCTGTAGGTGGGAAGTGCTGCTCCTGTCTCCACGTGGCAGAGCACTGTGAGGTTGAAGCCCATCCCTGGCAGCACTGCAAAGACAACCCAGGTGTCCTGACTATCCAGCAGAGCCACCAGACCTCCCAAATCCACATTCTCCAAACAGATGGATAACCAATCCACCCAAATCAGTGCCACCAGGAAACCAGCAATGTCAGGGTTCCAAATGCAACCCCACTTCCTGCCTTTCCTTTGCTGCCACGTGGTCCTGGTGGACACCCTGAGTGTTGTGGCAGCTGCAGGAGAAGGTTCCTGTTACTTGAAACAGAAAATAGAGGCTGTGAGTTTAAAGTCTGTAACAGGATATCCCAGAGCAGGCAGAACCCCATGGAATGCTGTGGAATGGCAGAGACTCCTCCATGTGTAACCTCCTGCCATCCCTGAGTGTTCAAAGCAGGAGACAGGACAAGGGACACCTGGTTTTTAATCCTGGCACTGCCCAAGGCTTATGCTGAGGTTTGGGATTTCAGCCAGGCCCAGCAGGCTTTTCCTTTTCCCTCCTGCAGCCTGTGGGCCCCGGTTCTGCCTCAAAGCTTTCCATCTCCCACCCAAGCAGTGACTACTCTCCTTCTCTCTCTCTCTCTGTCCCAGGATCCATCACCTCCATCCGCTCCCAGCCCGTGGGCACATGTTCCTCTCTCAGAGTCCCAGTGGAGTCCCTCCAGCTGTCTGTCTGCTCCCCCAGCCACGAGGGCCGGCACCGCTGGAAGGTCCTTCCCCCCAGCGTCACACCTCGGTCTCCTGTCCTCAGCAAGCTGCTGTGCAGGCAGGTGAGAGGCCAAGAGCCTGCAGAGGTAAATCCTTTGGAGTCACCTGGCTCCTTCCCCTCTTCTCCAGTCCCCTCTCACGTTTCTTTTCTTGGAGCTAAGAGCAGAGTTCTCATTTTAGAACGAAGCGTTTCTGTGCCATGAATTTTAATGTACTCCAGTCTCAGCAAGTGGCACACAGGGGAAGGCCCTTTTTACTTGCTTTGATCTCTGTGGATGTGCTATTCTAGGAAGGAAGGGCTCAAGCAAGGGGAGAAGGTGCCCAATTCCATTTTGCCAGTGCTGTGAGAAGCCTCCAGGCAGCCCTACACCGGGTCACTGTGCTGGGTTGTGCTGACTCAGGATTTGAGACTAGAGCAAGACCAAGGCCTGGCAGATCCCAGCCCTGCACACGTAGGCCCTTGCCAGGAAAGGTTTATCCTCTCATAGAGGAAGGTCTGATGGGGTTGGCACAGTGGGGTGGTACGAGGTGTGTTAGACCGACCAACTGTTCTGCCACGTGCCATGGACTCCCCATCCCTGGGAATGTCCAAGGCCAGGTTGGATGGGGCTTGGAGCAACCTGGGCTAGTGGGAGGTGTCCCTGCCCGTGGCAGATGATCTCAAAGGTCCCCTCCAACCCAGACCATTCTGTGATTCCATCATTCTGTGTTTCACCACTGGAAGTGCTGCTGCCCCAGCAGATCCCCAGGCTCTCTCCCCACTCTCTCTTCCCCTTCCAGGAGGCCCTTCGAATGGAGTCGGTGGATGGACAGACTCCGGACCGCGCGGACAACCTGCAAGCCGATCCTGGAGAGACACCTCCATCAGCAAAGCAGCCCCAGAGCACCCTCAGCCCCAGCCCCCTGCATTCCACAGCCGCCTCCCTACCGGCCACCCCTCCGGGCTCTCCCCACCACCCTCCCAGCCCCCTGCCTCGGAAGCACCCCTGCGGCCAGCGCGGCATTCCCAGCCGGCCGCCCAGCCCTGCCAGCCCCGAGGGCTGCCCCGGCGAGCCCTCCGACCTGGCGGACGAGGAGGTTCGGCACATCAACAGCTCGGCCAAAGACTGGGCAGAGGAGCACTCGGAGCCCGGGAGCCGCTCCGCCTCGCCCTTCATCTCCCCGGCCCCGTCCCCGGTGCCCCTCAAGAACTGCAGCACAAGCAGCCTCTCCAGCGGCCGCAGGGAGAAGGACTTGAAGAAGTTCTACAGCACCGACACCAAGGGCTTCCTCAGCAAGCCCAGCTGGGCCGACGAGCAGCGGCGGCACTCCATCGAGATCTGCCCCTCCCTCGGCGACCGGGACTGCGGCTTCCAGGACCCCGCCGAGGAAAAGCAGCGGCCCCCTGCCCATGTCCAGGTGGAGTCCGACTACATCCATGGCGCCCGGAGGAAGAAGAAGATGAGCCCGCCCTGCATTTCTATAGATCCTCCCATGGAGGACGATGGCGGGGCGGCCCCGCGCGCCAAGCCCTCTGAGAACAGCATGCTGAGGAGAAGGACCCCATCCTGCGAGTTCCCGGCCTACAGAGAATCCCTGGAGCTCGCGGAGAGCCAGCCCGGGGAGCCAGGCTCCAAAGCGGAGCGCCGGGGCCAGCCCCAGTGCCGGGGGGAGCACCTCACCATCCCCAACTTCTCCTTTGAGCAGTTGGACGGCGGCTCCCTGAGCAGCCTCTCGGATCTCCTGGACAGCGGGCAGTCCACGCCGGACTCGCGGCCGGACCCCGAACTGAAAAAGCCGGATCACTTAAAGACTCAGCGGAGCAACGGCGAGAAAAGCAAAGAGCTGCTGGGCATCGCCAAGAGCCCCCTCCGGAAGCAGGACTTGGCCCCCGTGACTGTTGCCACAGAAGAAGACGTGGATGACCCAGTATAGCTGTCTGGGAGGGGGGAAAGGGGGGGGTCTCAAGGGCTTGACACCAACGTGGGGGTTCCGCAGTGGGCACCGAGCGGCCGCGGGGTTGCGGGCGGCTGCTCAGCGGGGTTTTCCCTCTCCGGCGCAGTCACTGGTTCGGAAGTTTGCAAAAAAAATCCACACACACACACACACACACACAGAGAGAAAAATGAAAAGAGAAACCAAACAAACGGCTGGAGGAAAGGGGGATGGGGTTTGGGGAGGGGATTTGCAGAGAGGTTTGGGGGTTTCTTTTCTAAAGGGAAGGTGGAGTCGCTGCAGGGGGGTCGCTTCGTCCCTCCCACCCCACCTCCACCCCACCTCCACGGCCTCGGTCACATTGATTCGGGTCCGAGGTGGCGGCCGTTGGGATTTGGAGGATTCTCTTGGGGGTTTTGTTGTTTTGTTGGGTTTGGGTTTTTGTTTTTTGGGTTTTTTTAAAGATGCTCAACTTTTACTGAGGCACCTTTTGGAGCTGTCACATTACGCGGGGAGTGCCCGGGGAGCTGAGAGCTGTACATTGTCTGTATATCAGCAGTTATATAAATAGAAATTATGTATTTGTGAGATACAAAACAAAGGGGAAAAAAAAAAAAGACAAAAAAAAAATTAGACCCACAAAAACTCTGTCTTCATAATGCACATATTTTTATAGAGAAACAGAGATACTGGTTTTTTTGCATTACATGTGACTCTGCAACTGAGTGGTGTTTCCTTGGGTTTTCTGTGGAATTAATTATTCCAGCCACTCGTTTTCCAAATGTTTCTCCTCTTTCTTCGCTTCCCTCTCTTTCCTCTCCTCCTCCCCTCCACCATCATCCCACCAGCTTCTTCTCACAGCTGATGCTTATCGACGTCTCGCTCATTTTTCTTTTGTACTTTAGAGGTTGTCCTAACTACAGACAAAAAAAACCAAATCACTACTGAATTGTAGCCAGTGCAATAATAAGTTATTCATTCTTCTCGTGTGTCCAACTGTCCTGTTGCTTTTTTCCCCCCCTCCCTTTTTTTTTTTTTAACTGAAATTCAGGTTAAACGTCGCAATAATCTGAACTGACGTGCACAAACACGGTTTCTTGTGTCGCAGAGGAAAAAAACTATGAAAAAAAAACAAAAGAAGTTAAACTTACAGAGTGATTAAAAAAATAAAAACCAAAACAAATAAATAGTAAATTATTTATGAAATGTATTTTGTTTACTGCAGTTCTGAGTAAATTATTGATACAGTATGTAAAGGTGTAAAGAACTGTCTTAGGTGAGTTCTTTGTGAGCATTTAAGGTGATGATTTGTCCTTGTGGCAGAACAATTTCAATCCAAGCCTGGGGGCAGCTGTGACCCCCCTGTTTGCACTCCCTGTCAGTCTTCCCTCCTCATCCCTGCACCCACACCTGGACACATCCCCTTCCCAAGGCCCTTCCAACGCCGACTGAGAAGCCTTTAGAGGAATCCAGGTCACTGTTAACACCACTTTCGGGGCTTTTTTGCAGTTTTGGGGTTGATTTTTCTATTTTAGCTTCCGGTCCCTGCCCCTTGCCCACCCCTCATCCAGGCCCTCTCCCCATGGCACAGCTTCACCAAGGGAAGCTGACAGGAAAGAAGAGCAGGAATGAGCGAGTCCGTGGCGAGGATGTGCCAGCAGGTCAGGGCACAGACATCCGGGGGGGGGGGGGATAAATGAAACCGGTGGTTTTCGTTTGGTTCGTTCCGTGCCGCCTCATATTTATGCATTCACATATATCTTCTGTTATTTATGCATTCATTACTCAAAAGGAAATGTATCTTGTTTCACATGTATTAAACTGTATAAACTGGAAGCATGGCCTGACTTTGTGCCGCAGGGATGCCCGAGGTCTCCGTCCCGCTCCCAGAGCTCGGCATTCCCTAAAACCTCCTGCCTCAACGTGGCCACTGGGGCTGCAGACTCCAGTCTGGACCACCCCTGCTGGTGTTTGGGGCTGCTCCCACCTCCCCATCAGGGGATCCCTCAGCTTACACAGGAGCCTCCATATGTTAATCCAGCCTTGTGCCTCTGAGCACCTGCGATGCTGTAATTAGGAGTCGTTTAGGATTATTGTAAATAATGATTCTGTCTCAGTGGGATGGTGAGGAATTCCAGGAAAGAGCCATAAAAGTCATTATTAACAGTTCCTTTTGTTGCAGTTTAAGGAGCAGAGAGGAAGGAGGGAAGGTGAATCCTCCTGAATGATGCCTGGAGGTGTGTGGGATGCCCCAGTGTGTCCCTGGGCAGAGGAGGGACACTCAGGGTGTTATTTCTTGCTGGGATTATTTAGCTTTGCTGGGAAAGGAAATGTCCCCAGTGCCTCAATTCTCTTTGTGGTGCCACAGAGCTGGAGGAAAAGCCTCTCACCACAGGGCTGGAGACTGATCTTGGTGATGGAGAGGTGGTTGTAGACCAAGCTGGAAGGGCTTGAGGCCACGGCAGCGTGTCAGGAATGAGCTGGCACATTTGCTCCTGTGGCCACTGGTCCTGGCTCTGCCCAGGCTCACACCAAGTCCTGTGCCTTCTGGCAAAACCACACATTCCCAAACCCCACAAAGCTCAGCAGGACCCAAAACTACTCCATCCATGAGCCTGCAGGAACATTCTGGCAGTGTGGGGAGAACCAAGCTCCAACCGAACGTTCTAAGAGCAGACAGTGACCACGAAATGCTCCCTGACATCTTTTTGGGGACACTCACCTGGACATCCAGGTGCAAAACCCCAAGAGCTGCGTCCTCAGCCCAGACCTGGCCACGACCAGCACAGAGAACCCATTTAACATCACCCAGAGTTAATTTTCCTGCTGATTAAATCTCTGCAGCATTAAGCAATTTCCCCCGGGCTCTCTGCAAGCCTTGCTTAAGGTCGGAAGTGAAAAGCACCGGGCAAATGCAAGTCATGATTATTTAATTGGATCGATGCCTATTTTGCATTTTTAATGACAATTTAGTCATGTCCATTTATCAACCAGACTCTGCCCCACCACTCTCCATTCCAGCAAACCCACAGCCCGCAGGGATGGGCGCCGAGTCCATCTGGGCTCGCTCGGAGCCGCCTCAAGGAGTGGGGATCAAACAGGGATTAAAAACCACCACAGCGAGGAAGGGACAGAGGAAACCATCACAAAGAGCCTTCACAGGGGCTCTGCTTCAAGGGTAAATCTCGATCTGAAATTCTCTTTGTTGTGCTGGGGAGAAAAAAAAAAAAGCCTTAAAAATCACCAACAACCAAACGTGACTCCAAATTAGCCCCAACCCTTAATCTGTCTGTGCTGTGATATCAGACAGGTTGCATGAATGCTAATAAGCATTTGATATTTGTACAAGCTTTCTTAGGATAAATAATTAAATTGACTTTATCCATTAAACTTCCCCCTTTTAAGCTTTCAATGCTGTGGCTGTGTTTTAACGGCTGAGGCCACTCATCTTCCAGACAGGGGCACTTAATTAGGAATTTTAGCAAAGCCTGACAGAGCCACAGCGTGGGCTGAGGGGAAATCTTTGTCACTCCTTGGTTTTTAAGCAGCTCAACATGTCTCTGTGCTGGAACCCCGCCGTGCCCCTGGAATAACTCCAGCTCACGCCAGGTGGGTGCTCTGTCCTCTTCCAGCAAAATGGTGTTGCCTTAGGAAGCTCTGCCTCTCTCACGATGGGTTTTAGCCTTTTCCATGGGGTCAGCTCCACTGGGAGGCTGGGAGGGTGCAGAGGGTTTTCTCTGGAATGAGGGATATGCAGTGGCACTGATGCACTCCATGGGTTTTGGCACCACTTGATGATCCCTGTAGGTCACTTCTGACTCGAGATATTCTGATTCTATTCCATGATGCCCTGGTTTGACACTGATGCACACAGAGATGTCACCAGGAGGGTTTCATCCCCACCTTAGGCTGTCCCTCATGCCAGGACTTGTGTGACTCACTTGTACATCAGGGTTGGGTTGTTCTTTCCAGCTGTGGCCACTGGACTATCCAGTGAGGAAATAAATCTGTTAATGATGAAAGGGAGAAAATGCTAACAGCTCTCATTTTGTCACACCACAGGGAAGAAACCAGATTAATTATTTGAATATTTGATTGAAATCCCCTGGAGCAGCTTACTGTTGATTCCACTTTTCCCCACACAGAGGCATAAGCTGCCCGTGGAGACGTCCCCAAGGTTTGTCAGATGCACAGAGAACAGCTCTCCCACCTGAGTTATCCCTAAAAAATGCAGTCACCACCAGAGTGGGCAGCTGATAAACAGGATGACTTCATGCCCTTTCCCCTCTTTTCCCCAGAGCTTGGTTATTCCTCATGCTCTTATCAAATCCAGTGACCCTGCTGGGAAACAGCTCCTCTTCCCCTTTCCTGCCTACTTGTCAATTTATTCCAACTGGCTCAGACCAAGCTACTAATTAATTTTGCTCATTAACCAAAATAAAAATCTCACCAATGATAACAAGTTCCAGTCAAATTAATTCTTTGTGGAAGACCAGGCACTTCGCACGGCAGCGACATCTCCCGTACCCAGCAGGGCCCTGCCTGGCACAGGGCTGGACATGGGGATCAGAGCTGGACCATCCCTGGAAGTGCTCAAGGCCAGGTTGGACAGGGCTTAGAGCAACCTGGTCTGGTGGAAGGTGTCCCTGCCCATGGCAGGGGGTGAAATGAGAGGCGCTTTAAGTCCCTTCCAACCCAAACCACTCCATGATTTAGACACGTAACACACCTGTCTTCACCCAGGTACCTTCCCACCTAACTAAACCTCCAGGTGGATGTATTCAGCAAGAATTAGAGCAGGAATATCCCCTTCCTTCCACGCCATTTGATCTGAGCAGCAAGAGGGAAAAGCTCCGAGTGCAGGAGCAAAAGGCAGGGAAGCTCCCTGCAGACTCCTCTCAGGGAGAAGGCACAGGCAGGGATGAGTCAACGTTGTGCAAACAGTCTAAAAATAAAACCGGTTTATTGCAGATAAATGATGCCATAAAATGTATTTCACTGGCCATTTAGCAGGTGTTGATCATAAATATTTGGGATTAAAAATAAACTTCTGTTTGCCGTGCCACTGTATTGTTGTTTGTGTCTCTCCCACCTTCCCCGAGCTCCTGTTGGCAGCGATGGATCAGCCCCGAGGCTGCTGTAATCAGAGTTGAACAGGTAAGGGAGACAAAGTACCTGCTTCCTGCTACCTTCCAGCAGCACTGGATGTCCATCCACTCCCTTTCCCAGGCAGCAGCACAGGGATCTGCTGCTGCTGCTGCAGTTACACTGCAGGAGTCCAGAGCCAGGGTGATGGGCACAGCAGGAGATCCAGCCCCCAGGTATCCCTGTCCCAGCTACCTGGCAGCTTTTCCCAGGAGAAGGGGAGCCCGCCGTTGCTCTCTCATTCCGCAGGGCTCAATTCCCACTCACATAAGCGTGGAGGCAATCCCTGGGGAATTGAGGGCACGCAGACACTCCAAGAGTTCTCTGGGAGCCAATGGACCCAGAGCCAGGCAGCCTGTTCAGCTCATGGTACAGAGCTTGATTCAGAAGCTCTCAGTGATAGAGCTCCAAGCAGTTTGGATTTTTCCAACCCCTGGCTCTTTCTGGGAGTGAAGAAAACATAAATCCCTCAGCTTCTGACATGCCTTTGGCGGGGGAGTCAGTGCTAAAGGGACACCAGGAATGGTTCTTCTGGAGCTGGGATCCAACCCGGGCACAGCACCTGCGAGAGATGACAAGTCAGTGATCACCAGGCACACTGGTCCTTCCTCCCTGTGAGGCTTCCCGTTAATCTCATCACAAATCACAGGATCAGGACAAGTCCAGGAGAGGAGGTGAATGTTTTAGGTGGCCAAGAGAAGCAGCAGCCTCGTTAAATAACACCCGTGGACTCGCCATGATCCACAGGCTTTCATTGTGCTTGGAAACAAAACTCTCTGATGGATCACTGATTAAGTTTTCCAGCAGGATAAAAACACTTCCTTGCTTGGGATTTCGTTCTGCTCACAAAGATTAAAAGTGCAGCCAATTAGAACAAGGCTGGCGTGCAAGGGAGGAAAAACTAAAAGGTCTTGTTATGGCTGGTAGGGGACAGAGCCCTTCCAGAGGCAGGTACAGATGACTCACGGCTGCTGAAAAAGCCTCCTGCTGTCTCTCTGTCGTGGGGAAGGTCTCCCAGTGCTGATAGAATTCCTCCAGCACCTGTATATCACTTGCCAGGCAACAAAAAAATTCCTTAAATTGGCTCTTAGCAAGCTCCAAGGTAGCTGGTAGCCAAGTGCAGTGTTAATTAAACAGCCTCACTAACTGCTCCAGACAGCTGCTCCAAAACTGCTTTATTTCCCCCCCCTGATAATTTTCAGTTCAAATGAATTATTTTCTCTGAAGCATTTCTGAAGGGCAGGGGAGAAAGGATAAAATTTCAGGCATTCCCTCCCATCCCTCCTTCTTTTCTCTCCCATTCTTCTCTTGGCCAAATTTGTTTGGCCTGAAAAATCGAGTTGAGACAGATACTGACAGAGAATACATTTAATGGAACATGGAAGGTATTTTTCAGCATGAAATGTAATGGTAGTTTACTTTCAGTCGAATATAGAATCCCAGAGTGGTTTGGATTGGAAAGGACCTTAAAAACCATCTCATTCACCCACTGCCATGGGCAGGGCCATCAGTATTTATCCACACCAGCCCTTTCAGCAGAAAAGGGTGTCTTGGTGCCTTTCCTTAGGGAAAGGCTGCAATGAACAGCCCATGGTGTGGCACCGCAGGGAGCCAAAGCAGCACAACCACCTCCACCAGTATGCCAAAGGGAGGGAAAAAGGAGACAGTGGACGAGGACAAGGACTGAGGCCATAAATCTCTGCTTAGCCCATCCGTGAAAGGGCTCTGACTGGCTACAGCAGGAAACCCAAACAGGCGCCGAGTCAGGGCTTCCTTCTTTCCTCCCGTCCTTCCCCAGAGGGTCTGGCAGCAACCAAATGCCCCACAAATTCCTCACAGCGAGGGGAACGTGGTGTGGGATGGAGAAAGGAGGAGAAGGGATGAACTGCAGCAGATGGTGGCCGGGCTGGTGAGTCTCCGTGGCGCTGACGTGCGTGTGGGCAGCAAAGCTTCCTGGCAGGAGCAGTGGCACGACCACGGTCCCAAAGGGCCAGCATTGTCACATCACCAAGCCAACACCGCCATGTCACCAGCCCAGCACTGTCACGTTGTGGTCCCTGCAGGGAAAAAAGAAGTTCTGGGCAGCAGATTTTGGCAGTTCCAGCTCTGCAAAGTCTCGGCGCATTCGTCCACCTTGTTTACACACTAAACTCACCTCCGTCCTTTTAATTAGTGTGTTCTCATTAAACCAACCCCATCCCGTTTCCTCCCCTTCCCTCCCGCAGCGTGGCAGCCGCGTTCAGACCCCAGAATTACAGAGGCGTTTATCCTTATATCCATAAGGAATAATCACCATGCTGTGGACACTAACAGCCCCACTGGCCTCCCCCTCTCCTCATCAGCTTGGCTCATAGGGTGACCCTCCGGAGACCACAAAATTCATCACTATTCCCACTTTTCCTCCCTGGAAACACCTCGTGGCTCTGGCCCTCGCCCAGGAGCCAGAGCTGCTTCGGCTCGGCCAGCAGCATCATCTAGTGGCCATGGCCTCGACACCACGGAATCATGGAATACCCTGAGCTGGAAGGAACCCACAAGGATCATCGAGTCCAATCCTGGCCCTGCACAGGATATCCCAAAATCCCACCATGACCCTGAGAGCATTGTCCAAGCACTCCTTGGAGTCTGACAGGCTTGGGACCAGCTGCTGGGAAGGCTGGCACTGATACAGACATTGATATTGAATAAAAAATATCAACAGACGTTGATATTAAATAAAAAATAACGCCAGGAATTCTAAATGTTGGGGCGGTGCGAGGATAAAGGGGGAGTGGGCGGCAGGGCGGCCAAGGGATGAGGGGCTGCGGGCCGGCCGTGCTGAGGGCAGCGGGGCTGTCCGGAGTGACACAGGGCTGTCCCGGGGGTGGTCAGGCCGCGTTTTGGGGCGGTTTTGGGGCGGTTTCGGGGAGCGGGAGCCCCGCGAAGCGAAGCGGGGCGCGGGGGAAGCGTGTCCGCCGCGCCGCCCCGTCCGTCCCCATGGCAACGGGCGCGGCCGCCATGGCGGCGCCCAGCGTGTTCCTGCTGGCCGTGAGCGGGGAGATCGAGAGCGGGCAGGTGGGTGACACACCAGGGACACCCCTGGGATGCGGGACAGGGCCCCGGCACCGGCAGCGCGGACCCAGGTCCTCGGTCCCGTGTCCGCCCGGCGGGATGAGACTCTGCCCCTGGACCCTGCTCGGCTTCAGCCGCCTCCCCAACCCAGCCGAACCCACTCTGGTTATAACACCCCCTAACTCAGCTCAGTCTCAGCCGTTCCTAACTCAGCTCAACCTCAGCCCGTCTAAGTCTGCCCGGCCTCAGCCCCCCCAAACCCAGCCAGTCCTAAGTCCCCCTGACCAGCCCGGCCTCGGCCCCTGAACCCATCCCAGTCTCAACCCCCCCTGACCGAGCCTGTCCTCAGCCCCCTGAACCCAGCCCAGCCTCAGCACCCCCCTAAACCAGCCCAGTCTCAGCCCCTCTGAGCCTGCCTGGCCTCAGCCCCTTGACCCATCCCAGTCTCAGCTCCCCCAAACCAGGTCTGTCCTCAGCCCCTCCTAACCCTGCCTGGTCTCAGCCCCCCCAAGCCCTGGCTGCCCTCAGCTCTGCCCTCAGCACTGTTCCTTGGGCAGACCCTCACCCCAGAAATTCCCACTGACATTCCCCCTCTCTCCCACAGTTCCCTGGATTTGACGACCTCTACTGCAAGTTCTGCTTCGTCTACGGCCAGGACTGGGTTCCCACCGCGGTACAGCCCCACTGTGCCCCCCAGACTCCCATCCTGGGGGCTGCCAGGCCCCCCTCAGCCCCCAGCTGACTCCACCTTCCCCCCGCAGGGTCTGGAGGAGGGAATCTCCCAGATCACCTCCAAGAGCGACGTCTCGCCCACCACGCTCGTGTGGAACTTCCCCATCGACATCACCTTCAAGAGCACCAACCCTTTTGGCTGTGAGTGCTGGGGGGGGATTTCCAGCCCCCAGACCAGTCCCCCTCTCACACCCCCTTTCCTTGCAGGGCCACAGATTGTGCTGAGTGTTTACGGGCCTGACTTCTTTGGACACGACGTGGTCAGAGGTTATGGAGCTGTTCACGTGCCCTTCACACCTGGAAGGTGAGTGACAACCTGTCTTTCAGGACTGAAACAGATTTTTGTCCCAGTTACTCTGTTATTTCAGAAGCAAAAATGCTCCCGTGTCTCCTCGTCACACCTTGTCCTTATGGTGCAAAGGGCTTGGATTTTTTAGAAGCCCCTGATCATCAAATAATTTTTGTTAGTCCTGTGAATAGCTGTAAAGCCAAAACTGGCCTGTAAAAAGCCCAGATATGAAGCACAGTAAATTGCCTCTCCCCATCACTCTCAGCACTCAGTAAGCTTTCATTCCCACCTCTGGAAATGGAGGAATGTACACTGTTCCTATGCAAACAAACCCTTCCTTCTTGGAAGGAAAGGTATCCCACCTCGAGATGTTCAGTGTTCTGATGTGTCTGAAATTCTGGTGCCTTTATAAATATAAAACCCCTTGCTGTTTGCTGCATTTCTGAAGTTCTCTGGGTCTCTTTGCTTCAGGCACAGAAGAACCATTGCTATGTTTGTTCCAGAGTCCACATCAAGGCTGCAGCAGTTTACAAGGTAATAATTAATGACTTTATGTTTTTAAAGCCCTTCTTGCCCTCAGTCACAAAGGCATGTCCAGCAAATCACTGGTGCAGACGTGAATATTCTGTACCATAACCAGGTAGTTTTGTGGTTTGTAGGTAAAATCACATTTTTAGCTGTCTTAAGTATTTTGAAAAGCTTTCTGAAAACACGTTAACTACCTGTTTACTGTACTGAACTTACTACCTAAATCTTTTTAGGGTATTCTTTTGAAGCACAGCTCCATTAAGAGCAGCCTGGAAAACAACATGGAAAAACAATTCCCATTCTACCTTTTCTCCCATCTGGAATGCATTTGCTGTAACCTTTATCTTGTTCACACACACATCCTTCCAAGAGCAGTCTGTACACAGCAACTGAGGGTATTGAGGTTTTTCCCTTGCACAATATTGTCAGGATTCAGCTGATTTCTTCTCGTTCTGATTCCCCTTTTGTAGGCCCTACACTAATTTGTCTATTTTTCTATGTATTCAAAGTGTCCAAGCCTCTCTGGTTCTCTGGGTGATCAAGAGTGAATCAGTTCCAACAATTCCTTTGCCACAGGAGGATTCTGTTTATCCCAGAAATAACCTGGATTCACCATCATGTGCATGAAATTAGTTTTGGGTTTGGTGTTTTTTTTCCTTAGAGAGACAAAATTTAACTTTGATCAAAGTAGATAATAAAGTGAATCAAGCTTCCAAACTCTACTGCAAACCAAAGCTGGGAGTCTAATCAACCCCTCTGTGTGTTTTTGGCATGCATGGAATGAACTGGATCAATCTCAACAACCCAGTTTGTTATTTTCTGTGTTCTTCTCCAAGTTGGCTCACAGGGAGACGCCCGGAGTTTACTGACCCCAAAGTTGTGGCACAGGGAGAGGGACGAGAAGGTGAGTCCTGGCTTAAGCTTGGCTGCCCATCTTGGGGTGGGAAAAGCAGCTGAGAACGATCCTCCTTGGATATCTGAGCTCAACAGCCATTGAAAAGCCTCCTTTGACTGGATTTATTCCCGTCATCTCTCTTGCAGTGACGAGGGTGAGATCCCAAGGCTTTGTGACCATTTCCTTCAACATCATGACCAAGGACCTGAAGAAGTTGGGCTACGACGTGACCCCCAGTGAGCTGCAGAGCCCCTCCCTGGGGCCTGGGGCACAAGGGCTCCACAAGTACTGAACTGTGCCAGGAGGTGCTCAAAAGGCTCACAGAGAAGTTGAGCAATTGTGGCTTTTTAGGGAAAGGGGGAGCTGGTTAAACTGAGGGAATTATTCCAAAAGAAACACAAGCCCGTGAGGCTTTGGAATAACTACCAGGTACAGTCCTTTCAGTAAGTTACAGGTTGAAGTATTATGTAAATTAATGCCATCAGATTATATTTGGCATTTTTAGGAGCAGTATCAGACTGTCTCACAGTCTGGGACAAAATGTTTTTATAACAGCCTTTTGTACACTTTTTATATAATAATGAAATGGAAAGTTCACGGTTGCAGCAGTTTTCCCGTGGTTAAAAAAATCAAGATGCAATCAACAGCAAACCCTGTTCTTTTTAGCAATTTTGGGGGTTTTTTGTGGTACAAATGGGGAACTGAAATTATTACACCTTCCAAAAACAGTCCAGTGAAATGCACCCCCCTCTGAGCATTTCTTTTAGGCTGAATAAACCCAATTGTATAAATATATTTATTTGTCTTTCTGCTGCTTGGGGCTTTTGTTTGTGCCCTAAATCATCCAGGCTCTGCTCTTACAGGCACAGGAGAGAAAGAAGTGCATGTAACAATGGAATGACTAATTGCTTAGTCATCTTCAGATTGAATTTTGGGCATGTAACCTCTTGTGTTTGACTGCAAATCCCAGGAGGTGCCTGGGAGAGTGAGGATACCACCCTGGAAGTGAACTACCAAGGCCTCAAACTGTAGAAACACAAGTAATAACACACAGTGAGGAACCACAAAGCCTCCAGGACAAAGAATCCAGGCAGAGATTGTTCTTATTTCATGCTGAGCAGCGAGATTGAATAAATAGCATTTCTGAAAACATCATGTGATCACTGTGGGAGCATTAGCACCTTTGATAGGATGTATAAATGCTTTTCCAAATGTGGTTAAGGATGATTTTTCATCTCTTACATTTTTCCTGTCTTGCTTTTGTTGACTCCACAGTTCCAGTAAAGCTCCTCCACCAGTTGTTTTGACAGTTCGTGTAACTGAGTCATGTTGGAATCCAAATTAATAAATATTTCCTCCTGGCTCAGAGGAGGCAAAAGGAATTTTGTTTCCTTTCCAGAAGTATTTGGGAAGCAGTTCTCTACAGTAGCAGGATAAATATCTGTGTTTGGAACACTCCAGAGGCAAACACTGATCCTACTACTGCTGAAACATCCATTTTCTCTTGAGCACAGTTACCTGCCCCCATTCCAGCTGGAGCAAAACTGCCCCACAGAGTTCCCAGGCACAAGGAACCTGTTAAACCCCGGTGCCCACAAGGACACACCGAATTTATTCACACACAGCTCTGCATTCCTGGTGCTACAACCCCCTGAATTCCTCCTGTTGGACGTTTAACCCCACCCAGACCAACCAGACCCACCTCAGCTTCCCCCTTCCCAGCCAAGCTGCCAGCACCCTTGGAAAAGTTAAAGCAGTGAAAAGCAAAGATCTAAAAAAGCAAAAATCCTAAACTCCAGAAGCCAGGATTTGAGGCACTGTAAGATGCTTAGGATGCTCTACAAGCAGATCCCACACTGCCACCTGCATTATTAGGGGGGTTTTTTGCTTATTTTCTCTGGGTTTAGTTGGATTTTGGGGGGGTTTTGACACATCTTGAGCACATCTAAGACCCTCACCCACCTTTCCCGAGGTTTGTGTTCAGCCTGTGAGTGCTCAGCTCCGACACAGCTCAGCCCTCACCCCAGGGCACGGTGGGGGGATGTTTTCAGCCAGCCCTTCCCGAGTCCAGCGCCATTCCTTTGTTCCCAGAGGCCGCTGTTGATATTCCCTCTCTGGGAAGCTCTCCCTGCTGGAAGCCTTTGGTCCTCGGGTGTGGCAGAGCATTTTACCCTGGGGAGAATCTCTGCTGCTTCCTGTAGCAAGGAAGGGATTAATGGCTCTTAAATGTTCCTCGCAGTTAAAGGTTGGAAGAACCCAGTAAAACTCAGGCTTGCTGCAGCAGAGGCTTGCAGTGATTTCCTCTCCCCCATCTCCAGGCAGCTGTAGCACCCTGCTTGTTTCCTGGTTAATCATTCTCCCTTCTATTCAAACCTGGACTGGAATTCCCAGCCCCGGGTGGCACAGAGGGCGGCTCGAGGCTCTCAGCTGCGCAGGAGCTCCTGTTTTGTTACTCTGAAATCTCTCCCAAGCACTGAAATTGGCCATTATCCTCCTAATTCGAGATGGGCAGGAAAAAACCCTTCACTGACAACGTGTGTCATGACACAGGAGGGGCTTCAGCCATCCCAAAGGAGAGAGGGACCCTCTGGAAGCAAAGGAAGGCTGGGAGATATTTGGGGACTGTGCAGCAGCTCCCTTTGCTCTCCTGGCCTGGAGAAGCTCTGGACCGTCCTCACTCCATGGGGGTTTTCCTGCTCTCATCCTGGGAGGGAAACAGCCAAGGACACAGATCAAACAGCAGCTTGGAGACCAAACCTTCCAGAAAAAGGAAAATCATTGGGATAGTCCTTAGGAACTGTTATTTACAGCCTTTTCTACCGAAAGTAGGAATAGCAGCATCAGCTCCTGCCCTCTCGTGGCAGTTCCCAACCTTTAGGAAGGTGTCGGAGGAGGTTAATAACAATCGGCTGAGAGGCTGAATGAAGGACGCCCACGTTTTTCCTGCTCTCCATGGAAATTAGTGCAGCGGTGCCCGCTGCCCTGGCACTGCCCCTTGTCCCAAGAGCACCGGGCAAACCCCTCCCGGCGCCACAGGGAACGGGACTGAGCCGGGAATGGGAGCATCCCTGAGCGCCGGAGAGCCCGGCTCTGCCCCCGGGGCAGCCAGGCTGCTTTACACCAGCAGCACTGCTGGGAATTATCTCCGTCTGAAAATGAGCTGGATTAGAGCCGACAGCGACTGCTCCCCAGCAGCAGCGCCGGGTCAGGAGCAGGAGCCTCCTGTGAAACACTCCAAAAAAAAAAAAAAAAAAGAGAAAAATAAAACAGAGAAGCACAGAGCAGCCGGATTTGAAGGAAATTGAAGTTGCAGCTCCAGCTCTACCCAGGGTTGTGGCATTTCAGCCCCAGGATGAGCCATTCATGGCAAGGTCACTGGAGCATCGTGCCAGGACCCGATGTTGGAGATAGAGGAGGATAAATCCAGGTCTGTGGGGTCTCAGGAGGACAGAACAGGTGGGGGGTCCTGGACATCAGGACCCACCAGCACCAGGGAGAACCAGCAGGAACCCCCACCCTGGGCCTGTTCCTTTGGCCTGGCAGTGCCAGATGGCACCGAGCAGCAGCTGGATGGGCAGGTGGTTCTGCAGAGCCCACACAGGACATGTCCAGGGACATCCCTGGGACACTCTGAGGATCTGAGCCCCCCCTGAGGGCCCCCCACTCATGCACCACCACCCAGCCCAGCTGGAGATCTGAGGCCCAGGCACGCCAGCAGCCAACAACATCCCTTTGGAATGTCTTCCAGGCCATGCAACCCCCCAGCAGCAGCACAGCAAAGAGCTGGGCAAAAGCCACCACCCAGTGCACACCCCACAAGGGATTTCAGCCCCTTTCCCTTTCTCATGAGGGGGACGATCCCAGGGTTTTGTTCCACCAGCTGAGGAGTCTTCTGGGAGTCAAACCTGGGTGACACCAAACCCCAAGGGCTGAGACACTCGTGGGTGTTTGCAAATCAGGAACAACCTCCATGTTTGGAGCACAGGAAGAAAAAGAACCCCCAAACCAGAGCTCCCACCCCCCTGCAGAGCACCCACCACCCTCCACTGCAGCATAACCAGGGCTGGGGAGCACAGGACAGCAGGTGGGGAGGGCATGAGACAACACTTTTCCAGTGCCTGGCCACCTTCAGGACACAAATCCCTTAGGAACCATCCTTTGGGCATGGAAACCAGGCCTGAGCCCCCAGGAGGGAGGGTAAAACACAACCTGCTTTCCCAGCAGGATGGGAGGGATTCAGCCTCGTCCTTCAGAGGGAAGAGCAGTAGACACACGTAACTGCTGCAAGGCTTCTATTTTTATACCTCTATTCAGGCCAGGATATTTAAGGACCCAAATTCACCTCAGAGAATATCACTACATTTAGAGCCAGACTTGCTAATGAAGATATTAAAAAAGGGAAAAAAAATAAAAAAACAACCAAACAAAAAATCACCACCATGACCCAACACAACCCCAGGCAGCCCAGGGGCTCTGAGGGCTCCGTGTGTGCTGCTGCACCGAGGCAGAACTGGCCCCCTGGAGCTCGGATAAACCACCAAAATTCATTCCCAAGCAAAAAGAAAGCCCTTTAGAAAGAACATGGCCCCCACTACTGCCTGATCTTGACAGGTTCCAGGACAGGAAGGGGACAAGGAAGGCATCTAATGATTTTCCACCTTTGGCATTCCTGGAGGTGGCTCAGCCACAGCACTGTGGGGAATTCCATGGGGGTTAGCGGGTGGATGGGTGGGACAACTCCATGCTGAGTCAGCATCCTGTGCAGGATCTTTGCCTCCATCTGCTCCAGCAGCCAGGCATGTTCTCCTCCAGCCCCTGACCAAGCCAGCTCCGGGTGCTGATCCCAGGGCAGCCGGCAGAGCGAGCGGGTTCACCACGGGGTTATCACTCAGCTCATCAGCACCCCTGAAATCCTGTGTCTCTGCTCCAGCAACAGTTCCCCGGGCTGGATGGAGCTCTGATCCAATCTCCAGCAGCTCCAGTGGTTAAACAGGGCTGAAACCCACGATGCCATTCCTGCCTGGGAGGATCTCTAAGCAATCAAGGTGCAAAGCTGGCAGCTCCCATGTCCCAGAGAGGTTTCCTGTCAGGCAGCAGCAGGCAGGGAGCTGGGAAGACAAACTCCACCTTCATTACAGCTTTATTCGGGCGATTTGAGACGTCATTGATTTTCCTTCACCTGAGAACAGGAATATATTTGCTGAACAAGTGCTGGGAACAGGTCAGGCAGCACGTCCAGGCTGTGGAAGTGAGTGCAGGCTGATTATGGAATGCTCTGGACAAGGGCCTAAAATGACAGGACAGGGGGGAATGGCTTCACACTGCCAGAGGGCAGGGTTAGATGCGATATTGGGAAGAAATCCTTCCCTGGGAGGGTGGGGAGGCCCTGGCACAGGATGCCCAGAGAAGCTGTGGCTGCTCCTGGATCCCTGTAAGTGTCCAAGGCCAGGTTGGACAGGGCTTGGAGCAACCTGGGCCAGTGGAAGGTGTCCCTGCCCATGGAATTTTTCCTAATCACTCAGGGAGATAGTTACCAAACACACAAAGGTCCCACAACTCCACCCAGGTCTGGTACAGCCCTGGGCTCCCCCCTGCAAAGCCAGAGGATGTGCTGTGCCCCCCCAAGGCTCCCCACACTCCCCCATCCATGATTTATTATTTCACCCTCTGCAAAGCACTGGGCTGGGTTACTCTGGGAGGATTCCAACTCCCTATTGATCACTGGACTGCTGTTAATTAACTGCCCTCATGAGAACCGGCACCAAGGGGAACCTCCCACTCCTTGAAACCTCGAGTCTTCCACAATTACAGGGTACAATCGACCGACAGCAAAACAGAGACGGGGCTGCTACTGCCAGGTACAACAGTGGCTCTTCACCATTGCCAGTCCTGAGCTCCCAAACAGACACCTGTCCTTAGGAAATCCATATTCACTCACGTCCCAACTCACAAATAGGGAGGAGACGACCTGGGAGGCAGATGACAGGTAACCAGGAAAAGGTGGAAGTTTTGAACGTGAGGGGCTGCATCAATCACGGTGGTTCCCCGAAATGCAGACTGCAGGGAGCTCTGCAGGGGTCTTGCCAAAGCCAGAGCACGAGCTGGTCTGAGGCCTTTTCCCACAGTTCATGAAAAAGAGCAGAAGGGGCAGAGCTGCACAACCTGGGCCAGCACAAACAAGGGGCAACATAAACGTTCTCAGCACAAACACTTTGGCAACAGCAGCGCGGAGGAGGAGCCTGGAGATAACACCTTATCCACAGTCCTCGTCCTCCTCTGCACAGCAGCAAATCCACTTCCCTGCACAGGAGAGCAGGAAGAAACGTGGGATGGGGGGGAGCAGCTCGCCCAAGGTCAGCAGAAACCTCCCCCACAGCCACCACATCTCCTCTCACCACGGGATTTATCAGCTCAGGATCCCTTGGTAACCCCTCAGCTCTGCCGGCATCCAACTCCTTCAGAAGAGGTTAGAGTGTCACCATGTTTCCACTTTGATCCCTTCCTGTGTTTTCCCTGTAGAGAGCAGCTTCAGTTTAAAATGTGCAATTCCAGTAGTAGAATCATAACATCCCAGAATGGTTTGGGTTGGAAGGGACCTTAAAAGCCCATCCAGTTCCCACCCCCTGCCATGGGGATAACCTGCCACTAGCCCAGGTTGCTCCAAGCCCTGTCCAACCCAGCCTTGGACACTTACAGGGATCCAGGGGCAGCCACAGCTTCTCTGGGCAACCTGTGCCAGAGCCTCCCCACCCTCCCAGGGAAGGGTTTCTTCCCAATATCCCATCTAACCCTGCCCCGTGTCAGTTTAAAACCATAAAACCGTGAAGTAAGTGCTGATCACACAGAGACACCAGTCAGAGGAGAGATAAAAACACACACAGAGTCCTCCAGTGAGGAGCAGGAAAAACCAGAGGTATAAAAGCCAACAGGTACATGGTTCCTGGGCTGCCACTCCTGGGCCAGAGGTTTTCCTGTTTTCCTCACTGGCCTGGACACAGAAGCTAAATGACTCCAAGGCCTGAGCAGAGGCGACCTCGTTCTCCAAGGAAACAGGAGCTTGCTTATTCAGCACCCCCAGCCAGCTCTGGACCACGAGGATGGAACCAAAAGGGAGGCTTTTCTCCCCAGAGCCACCTTTCCTGCAGTCAGGTCTCCAGCCCCTCTGCAGCCTCAGCATTAATGAGTGATCATTGATTAGTGATCAGCCTGATTGGCAGCAAACAAACGCCAGGGAACCTGGAGGGGCT